ACTATGTGCAGATGGACTATGTGCACATAGTGCATAAGTAGGCGGGATTGGCTACAAGTGCTACCAGGTGTAGCCGAGCTACTGTAGCTACGCTACTTATGCACTATGTGCAGATGCACTATGTGCAGAAGAAGTAGTCCGACTACTGTAGCAAAGCTATTTATGCACTATGTGCAGAGGAAGACAAGCTCAGAGAGCTTCTACGTCTTAGGGTGTTTAACCCTCCTAGGCTAGCTCGTAAGCTTGTGCCTATCGATATTAACAACCGAGCCTCAGAGAGACTAGTATCAGAGATACTGATTCCTTAAAAGGAAATGAACGCTCAAGCAGTAATGCTTACAGAGCAGGTTTAAAACTGATTTGTATTCATGTTTATCAATATACACTAAATACAGAAGCACCCTACTCTATATTTAGTGCTAGTCACTATTTACTGGCTCTATAGCCTGTTTTTTTATGCAAATATGCATAGAGACTATACTTTGAATAAGTATAGTGACTACGTGGCTCTCTGCCACGATTCGGCTCTTCGTACTTCAGGTACGGTCACATCACCTACTTCTGTACCCAAGGTACAGCCACACCACATTGGTGTGGCAGGTGTGTATGTAAAATACACACCATCGTGTAACCCCGTTACACGAGACGTACGATCACTGATTCTGGAGCTGCCCGTTTGATCAAGCGACATAGGCGCAACTCATCAGCCGCTGGAAAAGCATTTGGATCCCACCCGGGTGTCTGCAGCGATGGAAACGCGCGTGCGCGACTAGGACACGGCCGCCCCTGCCGGAATACATCCGACGGATGGTCGACTAGTGATACCCGGTGAGCCGGGCGACTTTGGGCGGAATAGGCTCGTTGCTGGACGATTCTATGTGCAGTAGCGATCACAAGCCTCTGGATGTGTCGCTTGCAGCAATTTTCCGAGGTGATATGGTTACGACTCGCAAAGGAGGGCTGACTTATTAAGCAGAAGCGGTGCGGCAGCTAGAGGCCGTTGCCAAACGCGCATACCGCAGGGCGGGAACTGTTGTTTGCGGTGCCAAATGATGTGCGTGTCTTGAGATCTTAACTCAGACACCAAGGGAGGTCGGCGATCCTCATGGGACAGGGCCTAAGGAGACGTGGCGCGGTCTACGATTCCGACGTTCTTGGCATGGCTGTGGAATATCAGCTATCTTGTACTGAAATGTAAACAGACAATCCTGACTCTATATTTATTTGTCTTCACATCCCCTTGGTATTATATTTTATGCTAGTTCTTGAATCACACATGTAAGAAACAACATGAAACCATGTTGAAAGAAAGCTAAGAAAAAACCATCACGTTTATCTCGAAATGAAGTCCTAACGATACTTTATAACCAACGATCATAAATGATCTTGTCCTATCGTCATCACAAAGTACTGTTTATTAACACGTTTACTATGTAAAAAAAACAAGACAAGCAAAAACATGAGTCAGTCGACGGAATTTGATTTCATCCATCCTTGAAATTGCACGTAAAAATGAGGTGATGAAATCTATTCATCGCCATTCTCGTGAGACTTTTATTTCTTCATTGGAATCAAATCAATGTGATACTTGTTGCGAAAGTAGGAGCGTACAGGGCCTAGCACAACAATGTATTCAAAGAGAATACACGTCAAGATATTGCCCAGGCTCAAACCCATGAACTTCCATCGAAAGCTCATGGGCATGGGGATATCAGGCAGTCCAACAACATTCGTACTGCTTGAAATTCGGAAACGGTCAGTGATGATACTTTGCTCACCAAAAAGCAAGTACAAGTCAAGACTTCCAACCGCTGCAAAGAATGCGAGGAGGGAGATAGTTGCGCCAAATTGGCTGGCGGTACATTGACCCAAAGCTGAAAACCCATGCTGCAACATGTTGCTGGAAAATAACAGAAAAGAAGAGCACGGTCGCCAAGTGGTTGTCTGACATGAGCCACCACTTTGCAACATCCACATCGTCAGGCGAAAATGGGCAGTACCAGACTTGACTTGATAGCATGTGGATGCAGCAGCTCATATAAATGACGTTGATTGCCTCCTGGCCGAGGATCGAGGCCAACGTGGTCGGACCAATAAGACTTGATGTCGGGCGAAAAGGTTTCAGTTCATCTAGCGGCTTTGACAGCGTAATGACGTACGAGCACCCGACTAGCATAAAACCCTCCACCAAAATCCAGCACCACTGCGATAAGTTGATGGCGTGAAAGTACATGAACAATCGAAGTACCGAACCAATGAGACCGTACATGATGAGAAACTTTACAGATGCGAAAGATGTTGCCACACTGCAGCGGCCTTCACGGCATAGATCAACCACCGATTGAATTGACTTTTCCCTGCTCGTGAATGGCGACACCACTGACGCCTCCGCATCACTGAGAGCGACACCTGCGTGAGCGAAACGTAACGCACCGCAGTCATTGCCACCATCACCACACATTCCTGTCACTGCCCCTGTCTCCATATGCAGCTTCACGCACTCTACTTTGCCGTCGGGTGTCATGCGACTGAAAATACGAATGTTCAGCAACAGTTCCTTGATCTCGCCCCTAGCCACGAGGTAATCAAACGCCGAACCCGTCACAGCCAACTCTACGTCCTCAACTTGCTCGACCAGGTGCTTTACCGTAGACAAATCGTACTCCTCGTCCGAGTCCACGTCACGCCACACCAGCATCTTCAACTTCGTCGTCGACACCATTTCGCCCAAAATCACGCGCGAGGCTGACGACAGCATACCACTTTGACGCGCTATGTAGCAGCCGCACATTGCATTATCACCCGTGACCATGACCGTACGGATGTCACCGCCTTTAAGCTTTGCGATGGCGTCGGCTGTGTCTTCCTTCAATTCGTTACGGAACAAGATCAAACCGAGGAGTGACAAACTCTCATCCACAGCCTCGCGGTTGTTGGCAAATTCCACCACCTGCTCTTGCGTCCAGTTGCTAGGTAGCTTGCGGTATGACAGACCCAACACGTAGCACCCCTCCTTCGCCAAACGATCTGCTACGCTCTTGTAGTCATCGGGTACGCTAGCAGGCGTGCTTAGCTGTTGCATCCGCTCGTAGGAGCCCTTGCAGAATACGTAAAAATTACCGGTCCTAAGGTTGCGCACCACCACACTCATAGACATGCGGTGGTGATCAAAGTCGTAACGCTTAATGAACTCGAGCTCAAGTCCCGGATCTACATTTGACCGCACCTACGGCTGCTCGCCTTCCTTTTCAATGAGCTCCCAGCCCGTGGACGTAAACATACGCACCTCCACCTCATTGCCCACGAGACGATCCTCCAGTGAGCCCACGGAGTGGCACGTTGTTAGCGCGTATAGTAGCTCTTCGGACAAAGATGCTTCCTTTGCGTCTTTTACAAGGGGAAAAAACCTGGAGTTTTTGACGGGTTGAACACCGAGGAAGTCAAGGCCTTGCTTAGTGAATAGGCAATTCTCACAGAGATAGTTCTGCCAGTCGTTCATCGCAATACCACAACAACTAGCGTGGACGTGATGCTCCCTCACAAAGTTGCAGTCAGCACAACTCATGAAATGTGCAGCAACAGCTTCAGCAGCGCAATGATCGTAGCAATTAGGAAACGCCAATCTTGCTCGTGATACGCGGAGCCGTGGAGTATTGGCTGGAGCAAATCCGCAAGGTGCAGGTGATCCGCTAGGAGAGACTGAGGGTCTAGTCGTGCAGTGGAAGATGCAAAAGTTTCCGATCCCGGAGCGCAGTTCGGATACTTACGACCGCAGCAAGAAGCACACGTTGTTTGCTGGTACTCGCGTCCTGTCTTCGGGTCGCAAGGAGGAGATCCTGGCTATTGTACAGACTACGGATGCGCACACAACCAAGGGTCAGTTGATCCAGTCGATCTTGTTTCCAATCTCATTGCGCTTCAAGTACAACGAGCATCTCAAGGTTTGATCACGCTTCTTCTCATCTACGCTGTGATTGCATGCATTCTTGTGATCAGTTTTCTCCTAGGCAATGGCAAGCGAAGTAACCGATACGCTGCATTCTGCTACGCCATCTTCGTACTGTCCTGTGTCATCAGCCCGCTTCTTCCTGTTGTTATTACGGTTGGGCAAGTAAATGCCTCTCAGCGACTCGAGAAGCAAGGCATTTCTCGCTTAACGTTCAGCGTAATACTCTATGTGGTAAGGTGGCGCATCTTTTGCTTTGTCAAGACGGGCACACTGCTCCTCAAGACGGCTTGATCTCAGCTTCAGGTGCTCAATCTCTCTTGCATTTTTCACGAAAGACGTACTTCAGCCACGGGCTCCACAGTTTGTGCGGAAATAAACAAGGTTCATCAAATGCCCAACCCCGCGGCCCCGGCTTCTGTTCGTTACAGGATCGAATCAGTAACGTGCCAATATAATACTAGTGTTCTAGTGCCTGCTTTGCCGTAATGCGTATTTCATGTTTGCTTGCAATACAAGGTCCACAAAAACTCCACCACAAGCCAAGAGTAACTAGCATCAAACATGCTCATATCTCGACACATGATCGTTCGACAGTACAGCGACCGCACGTAGCCTTGTATATGTCCACACTAGGAACCATAAAGTGTTCTAATGCGTATAATAGACTTCATATATGCCGGTTAGTGCAACGATCAAGAAGGTATTGCGTGTCGTTACAACTAGCAGCCTGACGTGTTGTAAAGTCAAGCGCGAACAAGTCGCTCAAGCCCGAAGCGCTTGTTCCACGCGTCTTTGTTAGAACGAAAACGGATATATGATGCAAATTAAAAACAACGTAACCTAAAGCTTCTTACCTTAAAATGCATATTAGAAACCACTGGAACAGCGGAATGTCAGTTCAGTCTCTCACTGAACCTCACCAATGCCAAATTCAAAAGGCTCAGTATCCTAAGCCTAGTGCAATGTTGAATCATCGTGGTAAGCGCGTGATGCCGTCGTCGTATCACTCCAAAGCCTCAGAGCCAGGCGAAGAAACCACATGATACGATGAATTTATCCTTTAAACTACTGGAGATTATTTTTCAGGATGGAGTAGCTTATACTCATCCTTATAACTCTGCACTGACCCTCTTTGTCCTCTATAAGTTTTCGAGTCCTTTAACTGCACTCCCAGCGCCTCCTCCAATCTGCGGGCAATATTTGACGAAATATATCCAAACCTCTCCGCATCGAGTATTGCAAATGCCACCTTCTTGTAATCCATTTGATGCGTTGCCTTCAGTTGTGTGATCAGCAATTTTGCAGGAAAGTCTACCTTACGATGGTTAGTGTACAGTAACAACAGCCGTAGCAAGTAGCTGTTTAAAAAATCATGTTGGTGAGACATCTCCAACGTCAACCGTTCAACTCTCTCTGTTTCAACTAAACCATCCCAAGTGTCGAACAGTAGCAAAGTCATAGGCAAAACGTGCTCCTCCGGATTCACCACAAACGCATCCTTCTGTGCTAACCATACAAAGTTAGCTATTTGCTTCAATTTGTAGCGCTCCATCAGTTCTCGAATCAGCAGATCATCAGGATTCTTGTCTTTATGTACCGCCTCGACAAATCCTTTCCATGCCTTTATTAATAAGTCTTGTAAAACACGGTCGTCAAAGTTGCTTACAAGCCATGCAAGGAATTGGCGCGGTTCATTATGGTATGTTTTCCACGCTTTTTGCAGTGTAGGCTGCGTTTTCATAAACGCGTCCATTGCGGCGAAAGCCATATCGCTTTCGCCGTTGTAAAATTGAGTCACTTCCTTTTTCCATGCTTCAAACTTACTTACGAGATGCTTGTCTGCACCGATGTCGTGCATCCCATGATTTCGGAATAATGCGGCTACGGCACTCGTATCGGGATTCGCTATGAATCTAGCTTTGTTGAGCGCAACGCCATCGGGATCAATTCTACTACTTGTGCTCGCTTGGAGCTCCGACGATTCCAGTCTTCCTCTCTTTATACCCAGTAAAAAATGCATAATCGAGATGGCATCGGGCATTCTTTCTTCTTCCTCTTCTTCTTTTAGTAGTGACGTCACGTTCTTCGTAGTTGAATGCTGCTTCGTTTGATGGTCGTGATAATCACTTGAAAGATCTTCAAAGCTGACTGCTGTCTTTGCTGAACTCGGACATACCCGTAGCATCGCAGCAGTGAAAAGAACAATCCAGTAGAATCGAAAGGAGTGGAATAGACTTGGAAAAGGCATCCTGAAGTCGCTCTTGTAAGGTAAATTGTTGAATGATACTCACTGCTGTAAGCAAATAAATGTCCATCGGAATATTTGGTCAACCGTATCTGATTGAAGCTACGTCATATTCCAGCGTCAGCTGGCTTTCTTTTGCTACTTGTCACAACCTGACTCTTGTCCTTTTGCCCGTATACACAGGTGTACGTGTCCTGGGCATACGGGCAAAAGGACAAGAGTCAGCGTGTACAATATCAGGCTCAAACGTATCGGATCCAATTTGACCTTTCTTCACAATGCCACGCGCAGTGTCTCACGAAACACCATACTCGACTCAAGAGGCATGTTGGTGGTGTTTGACTGTTTAGTCGCGGGATTGCAAAGCTGAACTGCACGCACAAATCTTTGTTTCGTATTTTAACATATGTGGCAAAATACGAATTCTGCGTCAAGACGCTCGTGGATCGTGACCCTCAGACCACGCATAGAAAAGAAGAAGCAAATGTCGCTGTTCATGCGACAGAAAACAATTTGTTACATATGACAGAAATCGATTTGCTACATGTGACAGAAAACTTTGGTTACGTGTGACGATACAGCAGAACTGGCTACATCATTTCTGCGTCCAAGTTTTTCTTGCCGGCATCTGGTTTGAAGACGATTACCAGCGCTTCCTGCTTATCATTTATAAAAAGGTACTTTGCAGACCCATGCGCAGAAATACGACGAGAAGATCATCCAGGGTGTAGACTATAGCGACAATTTGACGCTTTGTGACTTCAGAGCAAAGCGTGGGGTCACTAATAACGCCTAATAATAAAGCAACTTGATAATTTTTAACGTATTAAATGCAGATACAAGCCTTTTGCTTGACAGCATATGGAATCACAGCCGTATAGTGTCCAAACTGAAATGCTTCGTGACCTTTGGTAGTGTTAGTTTTAACAATCGTCTCTTTATTAAAAATTCCGTTGAATTGATCACTTTAATCCGGTGGCTTTGGAGAGAGGTATCACATTCCGACTTGACTAGTGCATGACGTCGATAAAGTCGTCTTATATGTAGAAAATGAACAGGCGGTTTGATTGTCGTCCATGTACCCTTGGGCCACGGAAAATGCTATCAGAAATTACAATAGAAAACACTTTCAATGTGGTAAGAAAACGATGACCATTGGTATATCGTTTTACAAGAGCTGCTCCAGATCGAGAGGATGAAGACAGTGTTCCAGCAATTGGTCACTGCTCAAATCTGTTAGACGTAGTTGCACTTGTGCAGTAGAAGTAGGAAGTAAAAAAGTATAATATATTGAGTGTTAACTACCCTTTGTTGTCAACCAAACCATATGCAGTTTGATGACCAGCACTGCAACTTGACCTATTCAAGGACACCTGGCACTCATCCAGCGTGCCTATCACCATGTGTTCCTGGTCTCAGACAACGTCCGTATGCCTTGGTCCCATCTGTCAACATGTTAGTCATTCAGGTGAGGTTGCCCTTTACCTGTCATGGGTCCTGCAGTCTTCACTCCGAGCCTTCATGAGCTGTAAGACACAATGTCTTCTCACAGAATCATTGGTGTTAGGAGAGGCATCTGCTCCGCACACTTACCTTGCATTAAGCTCATACAAGGAAACAAGCACTTGCCAAGTTAAGAAGGCTCGAGGAGTTTGAAACCAAAGGTGCAAGCAACAAACTATTCTTGAGAAGCCACTGATGTGGCTTCAAGGACGGAAAGTAATTGCATGGAATATAGCTGATGCGAAGAACATGAGTTTAAACTTTTCAAGTCCATCTTATTGTGACTACTACTGTCGACATTAAGAATCATACTATTACTTTTTGAGCTTTTTGGTTTGCATTAAGACTTTGTCAGGTTCATTGTCAAGCTTTACATCCTGTCTCCGCTTGTCACTCTTTTGAAAGTGACGTCATCAACTTGAACCGTTCATTTTTGAGCATTCAGATCTTTGGGTCAACGTCATCATCATTTCGTCACGGTATGATCTTCTCGTCTCTCTCTCATTCTCTACGTCCATTCTCACTGCGTCTGCATCGCCATCTTAGTACATACAAACCATCAATTGAAGCTGTTAAGAAACTACGTGCTGAATCACAGGCACCACTTCAGGACGTACGCAATGCGCTCGTAGCGACGGAAGGTGAGTTGTCGGCCGCCTTTGAGTGGTTGCGGAAGAAAGGCATTGCATTAGCCACTAAAAAGGCTGGTCGGCAGACAGCTGAGGGTCTGATTGGTCTAAAAGTAGCAGAAGATGGTCTGCATGCTGCAATGGTGGAGATTAATAGTGAGACGGACTTTGTAGCCAAGAATGACAAATTTCACCTCCTGGTGAATAGCGTGGCCGATGCAGTAATCCGCTCCTCAAGAACTTCACCAGATGTCGTAAAAATGACACTGGATACGAATGCATTGGCAAATGTACACGTTCATGGTGTCGCAGTGGCCCAAAAAGTGCCCGAACTGGTCGGCATCGTTGGTGAAAACGTCGTGGCCCACCGTGCCGTGCAGTTTCAGCTCAAGGAAGGCACAATCTGTAGCTACTTACATAATGTAGTCACACCTGGACTTGGACATGCTGGTGCGCTGGTGGCACTGCAATTCCCGGGCAAGACAGTGTCGGCCGAGCAGATGGCTCGCATTAAGGAATTAGGTCACCGTTTGGCCATGCACGTTGTCGCCGCTAAGCCGCGTTTTCTGTCGCGTGAGACCGTTCCGCCGGCACTTGTGGAGAAGGAACGCACGTTTATAGCTGACCAGATCCAGAACTTGGGCAAGCCAGCGCATATTATGGCCAAGATGACTGAAGGTCGTTTAAACAAGTTTTTCGGCGAGTTCACGCTGCTTGAGCAAGAGCACTTTATCGAAGAAGGCAGCCCTAAAGTAGGCGCTTTTGTAGCAGAAGAGGCTGCAAAGTTGGGGGTCGACGTTTCAGTGACGGCGTTCGAGCGCTTTGAGGTTGGTGAGAAAAAGGAGGAATAGATATGTGTGTGGAATGCACATCATTTTTGAACAAGACATGGAAGTTTTCGATATATCGAGATGTGATTTCGTCGATTGGCAGCCAAGTTCTAGCGCTGCGTACGGTAGTGACTACTGACGAGCAATAGAGAAATAAGAAACATCGCTTCCCCTCAATTCTACGCAAATCCCTGCTAGCAGTTTGACGACTAACGAATACTTGCCTTCGTCCTTACGCGCTTAATACGCGTTATTAAGGTAAAAGTTGCTTTGTAGCATCGTTTGCAGACGGCATGGAGATGTGAGAAGTAGTAGATGTAAATTTATGTGTAATAGCTCAGCAATCAATGAAGACAGGGTTGTCTACCGTGATGATGCGCGTCTCCTTTTCCAAAGACTCGCGCACAATCTTGGGCAGGCCAAAGAGGCCCAAGTGGCTCACACCATCAAGAAACTTGAGCGGCTTAGTTATGCGCGTCTGCACAAGGTTGTTGGTCGTAGCGATGCTGCGTTCACGGATAGCCGTTACAGCGGCCTCACCATCTCCATCTTCCACGTTAGTGGCCATGTTAAAGGCCCAAACGCAGCCAAAAGACGGAATGTCGACCGAGTAAGGCACGACCGTGTTGAAGTTGGTCTTGAGTGTGCAGTAGATGGACGAGAAGCACTCGTCCCAGTTATACACGGCACCAGGACCCGACTGGGTGACCATATATCCGCCCTTGTTAAGCTTGGTAAGAGCATACTTGTAGAATTCCTCCGTATACAGCACGTAGCCTGGACCAGCTTCGATGGGGTCAGCAATGTCCATGATAATAACATCAAATGTGCCGTCGTACTGCTTAAGGAAAGCATGGGCGTCCGTATAGTATACCTCGAGACGCGGGTCCTCGAAAGCACCGTCAGCCCACTCGGGCATTTCCTTACGGCACATATTGCACACCAGCTCATCAATATCAACCATCACAACCTTCTCGACTGACTTGTGCTTGAGCACTTCCCGGGCCGTAGCAAACTCCCCACCACCACCAATGTAGACCGTTTTGGGATTTGGGTGGGCCAGAAGTGCCGGATGCACAAGAGTTTCATGGTAAATGGCTTCATCATTCTTTGCTGATTGCGTCATGCCATCTAGCACAAGTGTCTTGCCAAACGAGTGAGTTTCAATGATTTGCATCGTCTGAAACTTTGACTTGGCCTCAAATGCTATGGTCTTGAGTGAAGTTGCCAGGCACAAGTCCTGATTAATAAGTTCTTTGTACCAAAATGAGTGTTTAAATGGAGCAAGCTTTTCTTGCTTCATGTTAATTGTTTGAATCTCTTCTTCTGCCATTTCGACTACTTCTACTCAGTATGATGATAATGCTAAAATGATTCTTTGAACATGCCCCGATCACCAGTCAATCATGAAAGAAGGTTAGGGAAAGAGGGAAGACGGTATTCTTTGTAACAGTTACAAGTCCGAAGTTGATACTAAAACTGGTTACTGTCTACTAACAATTTGAAGTAACATTTAGTCAGCGGTCAAAGAAAATAACAAACACCCTGATGCGATACAGCAACAATCAATGGGATTAAGTACGAACATTGTGTGCATCAATTCTATCAATTGTATGCATTCATTCCACGATCAAACAAACAAAAGCATCACTGAAAACTGATCGGCACTTGCTGTTCAATCTCTGGTTTGAATTATTGAATGGGATATACCATTTCGATCATGAAATGCTGACCATACCTCAAAAATCCTCTGACTTGACCTTCTTAAAAGCTTGAGTCAAGAAAAACTAGCTCTAGCTCGAAATGTTGTTGCTGCACTTGATGCTCACCCAGCCCTCATTTTGCGCTGCAACGTGCTAGCAAAAGAAAACCAATGAGTACCCTGCTGGATTCCATGACGTGATCGAGCTAGGCCGGTGTTTACTGGCCAAAGTTGCAGCCCAGTAGGAACATTAAGCAGGCTGTACCGCAACGGACAGAGCGACGAAGGTTACACTGACAAACACAAAAGACTCAAATCATGCAGCAGAGGATGAAACTCCTGGTACGATCAAGGATAAAGTATGACTTGCTTTCATTACTGCTGCGCTCAGACGTATTGCATTGCGCGTAGGAACTTATAATTATAATTCGGCCTATACAAGTGTTTTTTAGGTGCAAAACGAGCCTCAGGAGGTTCGTCATAAGCTGAAAGCAAAGCTTTAGGAGCAAAAGGATGTGAGCTCCTGCGTTTGTTAGGATTGTGGCCATTTTCATGACTTGTGTATCCACTTTAAAGAACACACACCTCGGTGGAGCTATTGGTTTAATGATTAACGCCAAGTTTTGTATCTACAATTTATTTAGAACAACGATATGAAGTTACTATTTCCTTCACTGATTCTGACGTTCAAAAGCTTAATTGTAGTATTTAAAATAGTATTACTTTTTGGATTGTAAAAATGAGAGATTACTATAATCAGAAAAGCATTTGTCTTAAAGCGAAATCTGGTCATCTATTCTACAAAACTTCATATATTCAGCTCTAAAACCGACTCGGGTCACATAAAACACCACAAGTCGGACCATTGATCAATTTATAACTGAAACATTGCTGCGTCCTAACTTCCATCGCTGGAGACAACAACGATAGTAACATTGATCTTCCCTCAGCCAGCCAGAAAGCCTTAGAAAATCTACTTTGCATGCTATACCATCGGTAGGCACTACATCCATTAGTTTCACAAAATTGACAAGTTAAAGAATTGACAACTACTTGTTTGTTACTGCTATGACTTACCGCATCATTAACTTTTTTACGGAGTAAGGCCGTCGGTTGCCACATCCATTGGGATCGTGTCGTGTAACCTTGCTTTCATCTCCGCCGTCAGCGCACGCACGCTGTCGAATGGTGGAACCTTTGTCCTTTCGCTGCTGCTATTTCCGTGTACCATTCCAAAGGTTGCTACAAGCGGCCGATGGTCCGACACCATCCGCCAATAATCCACAAGCTGTTCCTCGTCACTGAGTAGCACTGGCGACTTCACATGATCCCAATCATGTCCAAATTGAGGTCGCTTTAATCTCACGACATCGGGTAATCCCCTCGGGACAAGATGACAGCCCATGGGCTGCAGCTGTAGTCTTGGCTCACCGATCCTAGGCTGATCATCATCACTAAGCGATAACTCCGCGTGTCGTCGTAGTGTCGACGTGGCAGAAGTCTCCCCAACATCTGCTACACTCTGAAGTCGAGCTCCAAAGATAAAATCGACACCCACCTCTCTGTTATTGTGATTGCAGTGTGTGATCCTAGCTTCTCGGCCATGCAGATGAGCAAATATGCTCGCAAAGCCGTTTCTAGTCACTAGCCTATACACTGGATCGTCATAGTCGTTAAAATCTCCACAAAGCAGTACGGGTACGTCGTATAGTTCCTGACGAGCTACGTACTTTCGCACGGCAGCGAGTACGCGATCAATCTGATTGAGTCGTAGACTTGCATACATGTGACTATGTGGGAAAGTCAAATGTGAATTAACCACAATAAAGGATCGTTGCGGCAAACGTGCACTATCACGGTTCCATTTAGTAGCCATGTGCATGAGCAGTGCAACACGATCACCGGCATCGTCGACCAAGTCGACATTCTCCACATAATGAAGCTCATATTTGCGTCTATTTACAAACATCGCTAGTCCATCTTCTTTATTATTACCTGGTCTTTTAGCTGTATGTACATAATGTGTTGTCTCAAAAGCCTGTCGAAACGCGCACTGGTACTCGTGATTAAACCAAAACTCCTGGAGACAAATAATATCACATTGCTCACGCTTAATCGCATCAATCGCAGCTTGTGCACGAGAGAGAAAAGACTTCTTGTCGGTACTCTCAACCCTTCCGCCATGTCGAAAATAACATGGTGCAAGTAGATTAAAAGTCATGAGCGAAAGCAAGTGCTGTCGTTGTAATGTCTTGATTAACATTGCGAGTCAGCAGCACGAAGGAAGGACTGACTCACTCACTCACTCACTGACTCACTCACCACCACTGACTCACTCACTCACTGACTCACTCACTCACTGACTGACTTACTGTATATGATGTTGAGGGAACGATCGAATTCAACGGGAAAACTAAATGATGATGAATGGGTGGTTTGTTTTCTATTATAACCAATCAAAAATAAGAAGAATCTATCAGTGCCTCCCTCGGTCGATTGTTTACAGTATGCAATCAAGTCTTGGTCAGAGAGAATCAATTAATTCATCAAAATCTCTACAAACAATCAACTACTTGGCGACTGCAACGGTAACTTGATGAATGTAAAACCTCACTTTCATGTTGGAAAGATACATTGCTTTATACAGAAATAAGATGGCGAAAATGTTTTTGCTACAGTATGAAGTATTTCGTTCTATAACCTAATTGATGTCTTGATAATAAGCAAGAAAGAATTGATTAAAGGATGTAATACAGGTCAAAGTCACTTTGAATACTGCTCAATACTATCGTAGAGACAGAACTTTCTGATCTGCGGAAGCTGTACATTATATCTAAGCATCACATTTGGACGGCCTTTGAGCACGTAAGCTCTACTGCCACTACGACTAATGAAGTTCCAGATAAGTACGTACATTTCCAGTTTTGTTACATCATGCTTGGACAAGGAATGTAATGTGTTATCAGAGAAAAGTGGAGTGTAGACACCCGTCAGTCCGTCCGAGCTCAAGTTGAAGTCGGCCTCGACATCATGGAGCAAGCCGTTTCAGTTAATAGCCTGCACTTTCTGGCCATTGAAAAATCGAAAACGCCCTTAGCAAGAGAGACGATAGCTAGAAGGACAGGCCTTACTGCACGTTTTTTTTGCACGGAATGTGCCCTAAAGGCTGCTGCAGCCATCCGTTTTTGCGTTACGCCACACGGAGAACGAGACACTCCACGCTACGTTTGCACGGAACCAGAAGCGACACCAGAAGCAGCCCGAGCTCCAGTTGACACAAGCATTGTTGTGTACGCGTTTTATCATGTCAAAGTCGATGAAGCCCGGTGTCTGTACGTTGCGCATTGCAACGATGGATAGGATCGTCACATTTGTCACGAGGCAATTCTGCATTTGGGCAGTCGCATACGTGTATTTGATCCTTACTTTGATTTTCACGCTGACTATATGCGTTTCACAGCAGGAGGTGATGTACAACTTGTCATGCTAACGTAGCCTAGCAAAAAAATGGGTGACCGATGCAGCAGACGGCCGAAACTTATGCCCCCCACGACAACTTGACAACGTCCGATTGTCCAAAGCTCCAATCTTATCCAAGATACCGCTAGAAAAATCTGAGACGATATGGGCTGGGTAACTGCGGAGTTTGCAGCAAAACGCCTGCTTTTACATGGTCTCAACATTAGCTGCAGATAACAAACAACAGACCAGTCTTGCCGATATATCTTTGGTTGCGCTGTATTTGAGCTTGTAAAGGCTGTATAGGACAAATGTATGTGATCATTGCGTGAAAAGTATCGAGCACGTTCTTGATGCCGATTCGTAAGACAGATGACGGTGACAACGTTCTCCGAGCCTTTTCCTTTTAGCGTTTCATTGAGGAACAGGCTAGCAGCATCGCATGGAGGACAAGGCGCGGCGAACTACAGATATACGCGTGTTCTCTCATGCGACAAATGCCAGCAAAAAAGGATGTTGCTTCTGGCGGACGAGCGTTGAGTGGCCGCGTCAACACTGCACGTTGGTAGGCAAACCATATTTATATCATGAGGACATTGAACTGGAAGTGCAGACGACAGCTTGTTTTTTATGAAACATGCATAAGCCATTGGCCGACCTGAGTGACTCAAGCACAAAAGATGCCAGTAAGTCATCCTCGCGCTATATACGAACATCATTGCTGGGCAAAAATCTCCGAGAAGACTATTTTTTTCTCTATTAGAAAAGCCGACAAACCTCAATGTGTCCATATGGACGATCATGAGCACAGTGGGAAACTGTCGCTGTTTTAGCAGTCAGCAGCTTGTGGAGCAAAAAGAATCTACGTAAAGACGGGTAGCTATTGCGATGTGCAAATCACAAGCTGCAATGATCCTATGGAAAGCTACAGCTCGTCTGTCGTTTGCTCGGGCGCGAATGAAACCTCGCAAATGGCTTGCAATCGGAAGACCACCATTGCGGACACGGCAAGCTTATTCCGGACGACCATAAAAACCAATACTAATACAAAGTTGATTAGTGGACCGTTTCTTTCCCACTTGAGCTTTGAAGATATGATGGAGCCAGATGACGATCCCAACGCAACAAACAAATGTCCATTCAAGACGACAAACATTACAGCAAAGTAGGTCCAAAGCAAGCAGCAACTAGAGCTTCATTGCCAATCCGACCGACTTGTACTTGCGTAACAAAGAGTTATAGTCAGTTTTTGCTTCTTGAACTTTTTTAGTGGTCGTAGTGATGATGTCCGCCCAAGTCGGGCAAAGCCATTGTCGTTGCTCCGACCACGATTCGAAGCCGAAGGATAAATTCACTCATGACGTTCAGCCTCTAATACGGATCTATTCACCTCTATGTAGGACTTATCGGCAGTCAGCAGCGCTTTCTTCTTGCCAAGATGACGGCTCCGTCAGGAAAATCGCACTACCGAAGCGGCAATGAGTTCTGCACCTTTTCCCTTGGAGATACACACACAACGAAGCTTTAACGCTTCAAGAGCAAAGGTCAATGCAATCCTGGTATAGAGTAATACGAGTAGCAAACTATATGTTCATGGGAAAACTTGCACGTTAGTTGCAGTGCGTGCAAGTTGCCATATCGAGCGTTTCGTGGACTTTTCCGCTGTTTTCCGGGCTTTTGTAGCCCGCTCAGTCTCTGCACCAAAATCCCCAAGCGTTTTCCGTTCAGCTGCCCCAGCCGCTAGCCACACTGGAGTATGCACTTGCTACTTGCTGCACTGCACTTGCTACTTTTGTGCTTGGTAGTTAGAGAACAAAAGAACATCGTCGCTCACTTTTGTTTTTTAGCCCAACGCCAGCAATCTTCACCCATTTTCGTCATTTCAAACGTTGGCCTTATTCAGTCCTCGACTCTCTCTCTCTACTCTTCTACTCGACGTTTATTTGGTCTTCATACCGCACTAGCAGCAACAGCTGCAGTGAAGAAGGACTTTTTTGCATTCCTATCACGCAAGTGTATGCACATCTCTTCAGACCGTGAGCAGCTCGATACGGGACTGCAGCCAGATAGTGCCGACCGAGGCAGCGAGCTCTACCGTCAGCGCCGTCTAAAGCGCAGCTATCACCTCATGAACAGCCAGGACGACGCTTTTATCTCCCCTTGTGGCGAACAGCAGCCGCAGCAGCAACAATTACTTTGCAAATACAAGTCCGGCAAGTGCTCCAATCCCCGTGCCACTAAGCGCAATGGACAGCTGCATACCCTATGCCACTTCCATCGGGACCGCCAGAACGAGCACCAGCGTAAAAGTGACCGCAAGCATCGCATGGTGAGTGTCGCTCGGCGTGCCAAGCTCGGCAGTATTGGCGTCGGCAGCGACAGCGCTCGCCGACATTGTCTTCATTCCATCACGTCATTGGAGGCAGCTTTCCCCAACGGATCCTCTGTCTTGCCATTAAATCGACTTGGGTACGACTCGAACGCATCAGACGCTTTGAGGAATGTGCAATATGCTGCAGGAAGTGTGCATAACGGTCAAGGAGGAGAAGGATTAGTGCCGCTACCCGCAGCAACGATGCGTTTACCGCCCATTAGCTTCCTCATGCCTGGCAAACTCGATGGCTATCGCGCAACTAGCACATCCGCGCTCACCTTGTCACCTAGTGGCTTTATTACCGATCGTGTCAATACAGGCAAGACAGCATGATCAAGTGAGACTTATCGTATATGACACGTTACAAGCTACTGCTTTCGACTGACTACCCAACAAAGTTTGTGCACTTGACGATGGATTGCTTCAGCCTGGCATTATTTTCACCATTGAGCTGCTCCGTAGACGGAGACGGAGCTCCGTTGCATTTTTATTGCCGATGAAGAGACAAAGTGTACCATATCTTTTTCAAACAAACGTCTCGCCCAGCCCCCTACTGTTGCTGTTATTTAACTACTTGGCACTTTTCAATACATGCTCGGAGTTTTTTTGCACTATTTTTCTTCTTCTGCTACTGAAAATCTGCTTTAACGTTCTATTGAAATGCGTTTGAGCTTGTCAAATGTATACCATTGAAGTAAGTCACGTTATGACTCCATGATATCGTATGATCAAAAAGATTGTAGCGCCGTTTCAATCAAAAGTTATATGAAGTATAGAGATGCCTTTGTTCGTTTTGGAACGGTCCTCTCTGTCTGTTGATAGATGATTTCAAGGATCTAGAACCTCAAAGACAGTTGTTGTCCAGTATCAGTCGTCTGATTGTCACGCACAATGAAACTTTCTCAGCAACCTTGTCGTTGAGTAACAAGTGAATCTATCCACCTCAACGATATTCCTGCAATTATTGCATCAATGTGACGAGTAGCCTGATTTCAAAAGGGCAATATTTGCAAATGGTCAGGTCCCAGTTTCCAATGCCTACGACTTTTTGTGCCCAAAAGTGTGGAGTTTATGAGCTAGTTGCACTTGAGTTGCTCGTACGGTCTTACCCCAATTACTCGTGCAACGTTATTGCAACTTGACAGAGGGAGGATTTTTTCACGGACAAACAACGAAAAGTCGAGTGAGGCGGCCACGCAAGCAGAGAAGGAGCGAACAAGGCGACACTCATTTATTTCGATAAATATACGTGTCTCGACATACAGACGCCAACTCGCGTCATATTACAAGGAACGGACTCAGTAGCAGACGTCTTCTTAACAAGAAACAGTAGCAGCAGCAGGTAATACTATAAAGTTGCCACATGTATGTGCATGTACCTTGGCGCGCTCTATTCTCTTTTCGACCACGTTGCGCTCATCACCATGACGAAATGGGCAATTATTTGCTTTCTATATTGGGAAAAGCTTTTGGCTTTAGTGACCTCTAATCATTTCACGTTGCGTACACAATTGCGGAGTGAGAGTGATGGTCACTTGAATGCGCGCGAATGTTCGAAGAGAGAGAGGGGAGAGAACATCATTCTGCATTCCGCACTGAGATGGGTGCTAACTGAATATTAATCTTTGTATGGTCATATGCAACTATAGAAATCTCGTCTTGCACCACAGATCGATGCTGCAATGAGCGCCGACCAATCTCCGCGATATAACCAGCAGAATGATGAGAAAGGTATCCTGGTGACGTCGCCTACGTCGTATGCGCTACGTGAGTCTATTCGCCACTCTTCATCTTCTGCGGAGACGAGTACACCATCACTACGTGCGACACAGAGCACTGGTCGTTTACCGCGCTCTTCGTCACGCAGTAGCATTTTTACTCGACCGTCGCCATTGCCACCCCCACAATGCCCACCACAGATTTCTGCAGTCTTTACTGACGGCAGCACGCACGAATCACCTCGTCGTTTGTCAAACCCGAGCTTAGACACGACGAATGAGCAAAGTCTTGAAGGAAACGGTCACTTGGGCCATTCACTTGGCCCTAACTCGACGCCTCTCGGAGCGAATCAGCAGCTGCATAATACGATGACGTCCTATGGAACCTCAACTGGCAACAGCTTTAATCCTGCTGCCTCATCTGGGTATGGAGGTGGTACTGATTTTAGTCAGACAGTGTCAGTAAATAGCCGTCGTTCTGTCTCAAGACGCAGTCTCTTTAGCCGCGAGACGTTCATGCTGACGCGCGGGGAAAAGGATTCGCGAATGACAGTCCCAGAGGGAACTCCTACTGAGATTAAATGTGAAGGGTATCTTACGAAGCGAGGACATTTGTTTACAAATTGGAAAACACGCTACTTTACTCTACGCGGTAACGTGCTGGAGTATTATTCGAGTGAAGAAAAAGGCAAAAAATACGGGGCTGTAACGGTTGAGAAGGTAGCTACGTGGTCGGGTGAAGCACACGGATTTATGTTTTATACTACAAAGCAAATTCCCTACTACGTATACGCATCGTCCGAATCGGAGCGCTCGAGATGGTTACGTGCGTTGAAAGATTTTATGGTAGAGACTGAGGAAGTGAGCTGTGAAGGATACTTGACAAAGCGCGGTCACCTCGTCCCAAGCCAGCGGATGGCGTACTATGTGTTGAACGGCACATCGCTGCGCCATTATGCGGATCAACAGGCGTATCGTGACAATCAGTCAGCGATGGCAGAAGTAGAAATACGGTCGGTCTCATCATGGGACGGTGAGCCAAATGGTCTTATGTTCATGACAGGCACGGGTAATGTATTTTACGTAATTGCAGACACTCTTGGTGAACAGCAGAAATGGCTGGCGACAGTAAAGAAGTCGACAGCTAGCATTCCCGAGCCGGTATCATGTGCCGGATATTTGACAAAACAGGGCCACAAGCGCAAAAGCTGGAAGAAGCGCTATTTTATACTCCGTGGCAATTCGATCTCGTACTACTCTGATTATGACATGGCAAACAACGCGAAAGGCAAACCCTTAGCTGAAGTGCTGGTTGAAGACGTGCAAAAGTGGGATGGTGAACCGTTTGGCTTCATGTTCATGACCAATGAGCAGGTGCCATACTATGTGTATGCCGATAACGATCGTGAGCGTAACAAGTGGATGAACGCTTTGAACAAGCTGAACATTGTAGAGGAGGAGCCCGAAATTGAGAAGAAACGGTGCCCGAATTGTAATGCAGTTCTTACTGGCTCTCGCTTCTGCGGAGCATGTGGCTTCAACTTGCGTGGAACCACCCAGGGCGAGCGTTCTACACGTGCACAGTCAATTAATGGCGAAGGGGATGATGACATTGATGGGCGCGACGACATAGAGGACGAAATGACACCGTTCGATGAACTTGAAGCGCTATCTGAGGGTGCCAGGACATTGCTGCTTGCTGTGATGCAGACGCCGGACGGTGTTGACATTGGTGAAAGGGAGAGCGCATACCCCAAACGCATGACGAGAGGTTCTTCGCAGCAAGCGCTGGCGCAGCCTGACGACAATAATACTTTATCTAAGTTTGATCAGGATATTGCGGACGCTCTCGTCGAAGTGCAAGCCGACAAGAAACCGTCGTTAGCGTACGTGGACTCCGACAACGATGATGCCAAGGTTGCTTTGGACGACGCAAAATTGACACCTCCTTCACCGGTGCGACGACCAACCGAAGAGTCCAGCACTGATGCGGGGCCTTTGAACTTGTCACCGCATAGCTCTAGAGAAGCGTTATCACCAGTGACAGCTCCGCCACCGCCGCTAATAGCTAAAAGAGAAACGCTGAAGCCTAATTTTGGCATTGTAGAACCCGAGCCTAAAAGGAACAGTTTCACCTCATTTAGTGACTCTGAAGAAGAGTCTAAGGCGGAACCAAAGCCTACTCCCGTGCCTGTTCGCACATCATCACGATCTTCAGCAGGCTTGCTCATGGCTGGTATGGGTCGCCGTAAAACAACTGCAATGTTAGCAATGGAGTCGAGTAGTGATGAGAGCGATGATGATACAGAGCTACCGACAAAGCCGCCCTCCGGCGCGTGTAATAAGGATGAGAACAAGTTAAATAACTCTGATAAGGAAGAGGACAGGACAACTATTGACGCAACCGAGAGGCACGAGCGTAAGAGTTCTGCCGACTCGTTGGAGCTGGACACTCGTGGTATTTCCGCCTTCGACGAACCCGAAGAGCTACCAAAGCTCAAACATTCTGCGAATCCGTCGGTCCGGATGAGTGAACGCACTGACAAAAAAGATATTTACAATTTCATGGAGAGAGAACTGAATTTCACGCCTCAGTTTGTGCCATCGGCTGAGTCTCCTGTGCGTTGCCGGTTCTACAGCTCGATGGCGTACGCAACAGCAAAGAAGGTGATTTTGTTCCTGTCCGATTCAGGTCCTCTTGGCCTTTGGAAGCAGGATCCGGAGAACGCAAAGCTGACGATTGATCACAAGTGGTCGATGACGCCATACTTCAGCCGTGCTCAAGAAGACGGCTTTGGAATTGTAGTGTGCAACCCGTTTTCCAATACGGCTGTTGTGTATGAGGCTGGAGGTTTTGAGCGCGAGGTTCCTATTCCAAACTCTTCCTCACCTAAGGAACATGTTCTTTTTGTGTGGGATCAATTTATTACGAAGTGCAAGGGCCAAGTGTCAATAATTGCGTATGCACGCGGTGGTGCGCTTGTGAAGTCTATTCTGAAGACGTACGAGCTGAGCGCACGTGAAAAGATCCACCGCATTGCGTTGATTGAGTCAAAGCACGAAATCGATCACAGTGAATCCCCTGGCATTTTAGAACTTCTTGGTCGCAGATCAATCAACTGGGAGGCGTCTTACGAGCCGCTTGGTGCTCAGATCGTGGATTCGCAAGCGCGCGTGAACTGTGTGTGTCTGTCCTTGGGCTTCATGCCATCACAAGAAGCGGATAACACGCCGAAGACGCTAGAGAAGGCTGAGGATCCTGCATTTGCGTTTATTGGCGCCAATCCGAACCAAGCTGGCATGACTGCTGTTGTCAAGCATGTTCGGTCGGAATTGAGAAGGCTAAAGACAGCTTCGAAGCCTGTCGGTCGTACGCGGAGGCAGTCTAACATAATCGTGATTGGAGAAACTGATGGTGATGAGTCAAGCGATGTGTCTGGTGGTGCTGACGAAGGCAAGAATGGAAACAAAACTAATGGTAATGGCGTTGATAATGACAGCAAGATTAAGGCCACGTACTATCTTCCGAAACCAGTGCCAAAACCCAAGCGTAATGCCGCCTCTAGCGGCATAAGTGGTGATAAGCAGCAGCGGCAGATTTCTGACAAGGACTTTGAGCTGATGAAAGTTGTTGGTCAGGGGGGTTTGGCAAGGTCTTTTTGTGCCGTAAAGTCACACCACCGCGGCAAGGCGAGCACTACGCTATGAAAGTGTTGAAGAAGCAACAAGTTGTATCGTCGGGTCTCGTCAACACGACAATGGCTGAACGTAAGATCCTGACGGATATTTCACATCCGTTTGTTGTGAAGCTTCACTACGCTTTCCAAAGTGAATCAAAGCTGTACCTTGTGATGGATTATCTTAGCGGTGGATCTCTGGCAACGCATCTACGTCGCCGTCGTAAATTTCCGGAGGAGTGGGCTCGCTTCTACGCTGCCGAGGTTGCCGCTGCCATTGCACACCTTCACAGCGCTAACATTATTTACCGTGACGCAAAGCTAGAGAATGTGTTAATGGACCACGACGGCCATGTGCGTATCACCGACTTTGGCCTGTCTAAGGTTGGCGTATCCGGCTTGAAGGGTGCAACGACGTTTTGTGGCACAGCTGCATATATTGCGCCTGAGCTGTTGAAGGGCAGGACCTATGGCAAGGCTGCTGACTGGTGGTCGTTCGGCATTCTGTTGTATGAAATGATAGGTGGAAAACCACCTTACTACCATCGGAACCGTGACATAATGTTTCAAACTATTCTAAAGCAGGACTGGGTCACTTTCTCGCCCAGCTTCTCGGACGCTGCGATTTCGCTCATCAATGGGGTAGGTTTTTCCGTGCTGCTTATGTAATCATAACTTATCGCTAACGCATCATTTTGTTATTACTCCGATGATTACAGCTGCTAACGCGCGACCCGATGATGCGTCTTGGTAGTGGTCCGCGTGGTGCTGACGAAGTGCTGACGCACCCATTTTTCGATAGCATTGACTGGCCGGAGCTGCTAGATCGCAAGATGCAGCCACCGTTTAACCCGGGTGTGGGCAAGATGGACACACATTACGCGCCACGCAACATGAACGATATTACCGCACGTGATCGGGAACCAAGTGTCATGATGGCAAAGACCGACCGTCCAAATGATTTCGACGGGTTTAGCTTTGTTGGTCGGCCTTCATCTTTGTCAAATGTGTGATAAGTCAAGATCTGTGAAACACGATACGCTTGCTAGCTACCGCGGAGCTACGGGATCTGAGGAACGGATTATGACATTGCGTGATAAGCTTGCTTGTAATAGCAAAAGGAAATTAAAAGGGATGATGGATTAATGGGTCGATAAAGTTGCTACGGCCTCTTAGAACGCAGGCTGGAGGAAGAAGTGAACATGTTAAAATGGAGTTGCGCATGGTGAGGTCGGTTCTATATGGTCATTCTTCTTATCTTGTAGTCTTTGGTTAAGATGCACTTTGTCACAAACAAGGTGCGAACTTGACAACACATTTACGTCGCAATCTTCCTGCACATTGGACTTACTTGACATTTGCTGAGCATATCGATGCTGGCTTACCATGCATGATATGTACAAACGCTATTGCTGTTCGAAACGCATTCAAACACACCCACGAACTTTTCAACGGACGGTAGTTGACATCAATTCCAAGCAGCAAGACTGTCATCTGATACCACGCCAGACATTGGTTTGAATCTAGATGAGCGAGTGGATACGATATCTTACGGATGAATCTATGGTACTTCCTGGTCTGTAATGACAAACACTTGACAAAAAAAGATAGCTTAAGTGGAGAACATGCTGTAGAAAGTCGATCTACCAGGCGAATGACGTCAGTTGGATTGATTCTGATAGAAACATTGATCGTGGCGTCCTTGGCCGACAGCAACCTTCGGATTTTCACAGCTTCGTGAATTTCATGAGAACCAGAACGTTATGCTCGCTGGAGAAATTGTATTGCTCCCCCTTACACATTTAGTCTACGCTCTTGCGATTTTGCATGCTCCCGACCTCACCGTAATATGTGTAAGAACCTACGTACAAGATCTGAGAAGCAGCCAGAATAAAGGCTTTCAGCACGACAAGGGTCGGCATAGACGCATCAAATCGGGAAAATAACAACTGCAGACCGACTGTTCATTCGATACAGCTGAGATAATAACGCAAATGGAAGACTTGTGAGTTGGTGTGGCTAATGAAGATACACGAAGCACGCGGGGATACTTGTTTGGCGCAGTAGTACTCGGTGCAGCATACCCACTGCTAGATGGTATACCAGTCGCTACACGCCTTTATAGCTGATTTCTCCGATCCATGCAGCATGTTATTCGGCCACTGTCTTTGCGAGGGCCAGAATCGTAAAGCGCATTTCGCCCTCGTCTCGAGCCATGAATTTCTTGATGACTCGGCATGCATCCTAGAAAGATCAAACGAACGACAGATCAGACAAACTTGCATTGAAAAAGAGGTGCCAACAAAAATGCACTGGAATACGTACTTGCAGAATAGTGTCCGGACTGGACGGTCCGTGGTTGATGGGACGCTTCTTTCGGCCGTCGAGTTCGTACAAGTTGCCATCTACACAGCTACAAATACAACCGTCTTTGATCATTTTTGGCAAAATAACGAGTGAAAAAAACGTTATCTCGTACTGACCTGAAGCAGATGAAGTGCGTGTTGATAGGGTCATCCACGCTTTCCATTTGCTGCATGGAAGACAAAAACACTGAGACCATCGCCCATACTGAACATACCACTGCAAGCTTACCTCCGACTGACCACCTTCCGCCGCGCTGCCGTGGGTTTGCTCCAGCTGCATCAACAAAACTCAGCAAAATGTAATCCAATCGGCAAGAGCTATACTACAGCTTCAAATCGACCCCGTCTCTCTACCTCATTGTCTTTCTCAAGGTATTGCGCAATCTCTTCCGGTGTCTTAGTCTTCGTCTCGTTAAAGAACTTGTCCAAGTAACTTTCAGGAGCTACAAACAAAGTTGTAACACATCAACACTTTCACGTTCTTTTTCTTACAATATCAATGAGTGCTAGAAGGCAATAATAACATACCAAGTTGAACAATGTGACGTATGTTGCCAATGGCATGTAAGATACCCACCGTACCACATGCATTACCTACAGTAAATGAATGATACAGACAAGTAAAATACAATTAGTAATTGAATTATTCATGTATCATGTTTTTATTTATCATCAAGTTTCCATACCAACGGTCTGACGCATATAGTAAACGTTTGGAGAGACCATTTGTCCATCTTGTTCAATTCTGAACGCTTCTTGCTTGTCTGCTTCTTCCGTCTATAGTCATAAGAACACAATATCACAATAACATATATTGCAATATTACAATAACAGATATTGCATTATTACAATAACATTTTTGTGTAGATATCTTCATGTTTATGGGTATTAAATGTTATAGTAACAGTCTTACGTGAGGTTTAATAGGAAAAAGCATCATGATCGCGACCACGGGTCTCGGCACAAGTGCTAGCGCCCACTCCTCAGTGCTTAATACATCACAAAACCGAAATTGACTCGTGGGGAAACCCATCTTTTCAATGTATGTGTTCATAACCTCTGGATTCGACTCGAGCGGAAACCAGCGCTTGGGTTTGCTCAAATCGATGCTCATAGTTGAGATAGAAGGTAAAATTTCGATAACCGTGACATTGACGTGATATTCATTGGCCAATACAAAGGTGAGCATATTATGGCTACATTTCTAGCAACTACAAAGTGGGAGGTATGGGACGGTATCAACAATACAACTTGGCCTTAATTCGCATGATGTGCCTTTAACACTGTTTAAAAAGAGTAGATGTAGCATTGTGAGTGACATACTGGTGCTTTAGTATTAGGTTGGTATCCTTGAATATACGTCGTCGTCTTTTGGCATCGAAAGATCATTGGGAGAACCATCATGGTGGATAGTAAATAAACAACAGTGTTGATGGCGATGTTATGAATGAGACCGAGTGACATGGATAAACATTCGGCACAAGTTTGAGCTTATGGAATAACTCGAGGATGACGACCATCGATCTACATGTTGACGTTGATGGTGAAGGATCGGGTGTTGAGTGCAAGTAGTAATAAGGTAGTGAGCGAGTGTTCTATTGCCCGTTTGAATGAACACTCGATTGTGGTGGTATATTTCTTGGTGAGGGCATTATCTGTCAAGCGCTTGGATTAGCGAGTCCCGCGTGACATGCTCCAAATCAACTCTTATTGACAAGAACGTTTGTTCTACAGCGCATCAGATCAGAAGGTCATCACGTTTTGTAGGCGTATTTATATTGTTACGGAGTGATTTGATGAGGAGAGAAATAATCTGTTGAACTAATATACATCTCCGAAAAGAGTCTTTTGTTAAGTGGTGTCAATGTTCTCTTTACTTTGCTCACTTATCAATACACACATCTACTCTTGTCTTTGTAAGACATTCTGCAACGGCACTAGCGCTGAAATCAGCGTAGTTTGTCATATCAATTGCTGTAAAAGTAGATGCCAAGCACAGCATAAACACAGGCGGAAAGCAAACGCTGTGGGTGAGAAGGAACAATGGGTCCCTCATCACAAAAAGACGATGGCACGGTTCCTGTGCATTGACAGCCTCGCTTAAAAACCTCATCTCGCTATCCTAAAGCTAAATCGGTATGTCGATCGGAAGCTGCTGTTTCTACGCTACTAACCTGATCGAGCTTCTTTCATGGTGAAGACGACATCTTCGGTATTTGTGTAGGCTAGAACCTATTTGTTGCGTACTTCATTTGACATGGTGTCACATGTACATCGTCTTCTTGGTGACGTATTAACCAACATACACATCTTCTAATCTCAAGACATTTTACACCTGTCAATCATGCTAAGTGCATACCACAATCGCAAAAGATGCAGCTAATAATATCGTCCGACAGAAGATCCCGCTCCATGTCGTCAAACGTTGCAATATTCCGCACAAACACAGCTCGTGCTGTCTCAATCTTATCCTTTTGCATCAAAGAGTTGCATGATGATGTTACGTTAGAAAGAGCACTAACGTCTTTTCTTATCGAATCAACTACGACGATACAAAGCATAACTGCTACGGTCGTCAGTCAGTTGGACTGATGAATCAATTAGTTACAAAGTAGTTGTATCTAAGGCATCGTCAATAGCCGCATCAACGCGTACATGCCCTCAATTATCAATTCGTGCTTCTCGTGCACAACCTTGCGCATCAGTTTGAGCGTAGGCGTCAGCTCTGTTGCCGAGAACGAAATGTTGTGGTCTGCGCACCTAACGTGGCGCGGGCGTTGGCACGTTTCAAGCCAGCATCCAGATACGCCTTTATCTTCTCGTCAGCGTGCGCGTCCTAGACCGTCGTAGCCGGGCTGTCGATTACTTCTATAATGCTAATCGCCTTGTCATCTAGCGTATCCGTCGGATTTTCTTACTTGTCTTACCGTCACACGCAGCGTAACCACCGCAGCCAGGACTTTGCGACGGCCGCCGACTACTATCACGATCGACAGCAGCGGTAACTCCCCCTTGACCGTGTCCTTAATTACAGGCGGAACATTCAAACCACCAACAGTAGTAATAAGCTCCTTATTGATACGATCTGTAATCATTATGAATCAGTCCTTGTCGATCTCCCACAATCACCCGAGTGTAGCCCAGCCGTCATCGTCAAAACTTTCATTTCGTCTGCTGTTCACCTTCAGGTAGCCTATCGTGATGTTGCGACCGCTGAAGCTAAAGTCGTCCGTGCCTGGCGCCACCTTGGTCTCCACGCCGTCAATAGTAATGCCGCACGTGCCAATCTTCCACTTGCTCTGCATGCTGTGCGTCTGCAGACCGCTTGCTTCGTTCTGACCACAAAAACTCATATATAGGTACAAAACAACCGAAGTACTCCATACTTTCGAGGCTGATAGGTGCAGCATTGCTAAAGCTAGCAACGTATTGGTCCAAGCCAAAACACTCCTTCACACGCATGAGCACAACAGCATTGCTGATGCCGAAACCACATGGAGAACCTCCCTAGTTGCCGTACTGAGCAAGCATCATCTCTTGTGTAGCGTTGTTCTTCGCCCATCCCACCATGCGCTTCTTGATACCCGTCGTCTGGGCCGTAATCGACCACAACTTCTCGGCATTTTTGCCACACCGAGAAGGACGGTGCTGCACTTTGCCTTTCAGCGTAGCACCCAGTGATTTCGTAAGGGCGTTTGACTGTGCACAATACACCTCAGACGGGCAGCCAGATAACAATCAACTGGGTAGCAACGAGAGTAGCTGACGAGGCAGTTTTGGTTGTCTATCTTGAGGTTGAAGTTGAGCCCACCACGCCAATGCGTCCCAACGACAATGCAACGATTGTCCATCCGATGCAAGCAAAGATTTTTTCATGACAAGGTGTCAGAGAAATTGCTTTCTATGGACGGTACTTTTCTGTCCCTTATCCAAATCTGCAAATCCTAGCTCAGAAACGCACTTACGCCTACATGCTAATTTAGTCGGCTCAACCATGTGGTTGTTGGACGTCTGTAGTCTTTGACAAAGTCCAGCTGGGATAAGAGAAAGAGGCAGACATACATATTGTACGTTGTTAAGGATTGCAAGTTGTCTGGTAAATCCTAAGCCTGGTTAGCAACGCCGGTTCCTCGGTCGAGTCCGGTGCTTGTACAGGGCTAGTCACTGCGGTGACGGGCGTCCAGCTGGGACAAGTAAAGCGCGATCGGCTGATTCGTACTACAGCTTTTTTTGCCGATGGTAAACACGACCATGTAATCATGTGTAGCACAGATGCACTATGTGCAGAAGAAGTAGTCAGACTACTGTAGCATAGCTACGTATGCACTATGTGCAGAGAAAGATAAGCTCAGAGAGCTTCTACGTCTTAAGGTACTTAACCCTCCTAGGCTAGCTCGTAAGCTTGTGCCTATCGGTTACTGTAACCGTGTCTCAAAGGGACTAGTATCAATGATACGATTTCTCAGGAGGAATAGAAAGCTCAAGCAGTGATGCTTATAGAGCAGGTTTGCAACTGATTTGTATTTATGTTTATCTTCTAACACTAAATATAGAAGCGCCTATCCTATACTTAGTGCTAGTCACTATTACTGGCTCTTTAGCTGTTATTATTATGCAAACATGCATAGTCACTATACTTAAATAAGTATAGTGACCACGAGACTCTCTGCCACGATGTGACCCTTCGTACTTCAGGTACGGTCACATCACACCCCAAGGTACAGCCACACCCACATTGGTGTGGCAGGTGTGTATATAAAATACACACCTTCGTGTAACCCCGTTACATCATTGTGTATTTTTAAGTAAGCATGATTGATTACATGATAGTGTTTACTTTTTGGGGCTTCTTCAAGTGGTAGTGAGGGTAAAACAGCTGTACATGGAGCACGCCATCCGGGTTAAACCACACAGTTCATAGCTTCGTGATGCACTAAAGCGTTGGACGATGATTTTGAACTAGACAACCAGGTTTTCCCCAAGTTCTTACTCATTGATATGGTGACGAAGCGCATACCATTTTTTAGCAAACTCAAAGAGACATCGAGTTCACTTCGACACAAAGTGTGTTTGCCCGGGTATCGCCTTGAGAGGGCGGCATAATGTGCTTTCAGACCCGTTATAGCTACTGTGGCGTAGATAAAAAAGCTTCTAATAGAGACATTATTTATTGCTGAAATAGCTGCTCGTAGCAGGTTTTTGAACCCAGTGTCTTTTACTGATAAATGAGTAGCGAGAGTTGACAGGCTGCTTAGTTCGACGATACTATGCGGTTTTACAGTGATAGCTTCATTAAGCCGGCAATTTTGCAACCTTTGTGTTAGTAGGTATTTTTATTGCGGTGTGACCATATACGATGTTTGCACAGGAACATTTGCCATTACGTGCGAAAGGGCAAGGACATGAGTTGCAAAAAAGTTAGCTCACGCTACGATTTGACAAATCTCAACGCGACATTTATTCGTTTATAGCAGTGAAGTCTGTCATTCTACAATTTGATTTACAAAAGAGACTAGTATGACTCTTCCAGGTCTACATAACTTACCTCGACTCTATTGGATTGTTATTTTGACTGTACTGGTATATCCCAGTTTAGCAAAGACAGATCAGCTGTCAAAACTTTTTAAGTGATTATCATGATGATCAAGCAACGCAACATTTGGACACGAAGAACACGCGGCAACTGACTGAGAAAGTCAACAACTCGGAGAAGAAGAAAGAGGGATCGATTTCACTCTTCTTCCGAAAGCGGGCTCAAGTGTAAAGACGGCAAGGTCGGAATCGCCAGAGGCTTCAGCGAAGGTAAAACGTAGAATTGTTTCCGATTACAGCGCGGCCGAAAAAAAAGTCTTTATCTTGAATCCTGATCAGAGCGCCGCAGCCATGTCCTTCACAACTTTTGGATTATACAAAGTCGGTGCAGAAAAATTCATTGCAAGTGGCAAATTTCAAGAGTGGACAGAGGCGATGACTAACTTTTACGGTGGCGACAGCAAGTTGGCAGGAGCCGCGATGGTGGCATTTCTGACAAGTCGCTATAGCGATGAGGGGCTGCGGGACTTGCTGGTAAAAGCAAATACCCCAGAGTCGCTTATGTTACAAAAAGCGCAGGTAAGGCACTGGGCGATATCTCAAAGAGTCCAGAAGAAGTGGTTGGCTTGCTCAAAATCAATGATGCGAACGTTTTGGAAGACTCATTGATGCATAGCTGGGCGCTCTTTGTCAAGAAACGTAAGAAACTTGAGAATGCGTATGAGCTTCTAATCAGCGTATTGGAGAAGCGCTACACTATTCAAGAACTAGATATGACCACAAGTAATGCCTTGCTAAGGATTGAACATGGCAAAGGTTCGTTTTACTTTAAGGTAACTACTCATCTTTTCAAGTGGGTGCTGTATACGAGACACAATATGATAATCTGACACATCGGCGGACGAGTACCTTTGGGAAGCTCTTGTCCTGAAACGTTGGGCTGAGTACGCGGATGGAGTATGCTGGGAAGTTGCTGTCCGAAAACTGCAAGCTCATTGGTAGGTGCGAGACAAAGCAGACATTACCAAGAACTTGATGGGGAGATGTATAAGAAGAACGCACTCAATATGGTTAAGTATCTCAACTTATGCAAGAAAAGACAAGATTTTTAAACACGGGTTGTATGCTTTTAGTAGCTATTGAGTATTGAGCGAGACTATCACTGATACTTTTCCTTACCTTATTTTTGATGGATGTTGTGCAACTTCATTAATCACTACATCCAGCATGGCGTTGTTCTCTGCTTAAACTTAGTGAATAAAAAACTGTAGAAACTAGACCTACCAGGCAAATGACGTTCGTTGTACTGATCTGATAAAAGCATCAATTGTTGCGTCCTTGGCTGACAGCAACCTTGGGATTCCACTACTTTCATCAACTTCGTGAACTCAACGAAAACCAAAACGTTACGCGCACTGGAGAAATTGCATCCCTCACTTCAAAATCAATCTGCGCTCATGCCTTCTTTGGAACGCAACTACATGTCTAAAAAATAGGTACAAGAGATCTGAGACTTATGAAGCCGGCAGGTGTGGCAGCTGTTGCGTTCTCTCGATGAGGTCGCTGGCAAAGCTTAAGTAGAAGTTTGTCCTTGACATTGGTTTTATTGGAGCTGATGCCATGATATTCTGCTCCATCGCAAAAAATGACGATGCCATACATAATAGCATTTGTACAGCTAAGGTCTACCCACATGATTGCTGCTTATGCGTAAGTCATAGTCTGAAGTGTTGGACTTGAGGAGATATTGACCGCGTCTAGTACAAGCAGGTGACAAGTAAAGGCTCATGGAAAGATTGTTTCTTGAAGCTGCAAGGCGCAAACACTGTGATGTTGCAGCGGTCGTGTTGGTATTTACGTCTAAATGCTGTTGTTCTTCCCTGCGACCATGACTAATTTTTTCAAAGTGACGGCGCTGGATCGTCGTACTCGACTCGACAATGTGAACGCTTCGTAGAGAGCTTGCGGTGTCATGACATCCACCAACGCATACGAATCGTCAACGTGTAAGTAGTAGTGCACCAAATACTTGGAACCTCTCGAGGCACTTTGAACTCCATTTGAGTATCTATCTGGTTCATGGGTTAGTAACAAAACTGTTGCACACGTAGCACGATTGACGACAAATTTTTGTCCAAAAGCACTTGTAATCCCATTAACAACTTTTGCTTTCATCAAGCGATCCCTTGTCCACATCTACCTATCAGCAGTCTCAACATCTTAGCAATGACCACTTCCTCACAGCACGGCACGATTGGAAAAACTCTAATTGCAAACTTACCTAATAAAGTCTTTGACAAATGAATGTACGCACTTTTAGCAATAGCGTTGACGTTGCATAGCGCAAGAACCCGGACACTCCAGCGCAGCCTTTTGGGGTCCTTTCTGTATAGAATGGGTTCTGATGAAGTGATATTGACCGAGGTGCGAGTACAAGAACTGAAATGTAACGAGTCATATGCATGCATACTATGTCAATACCATTCTGTTATCCTGTAATGGTCTTGGTATCCCAGCATAAGGTAGCGATGCGGTTCACCCCAAAAAGCAAATTGGGCCTTCCACGATCTAACACTATCACTCGATTCGAAAGAAGTTGGGGAGGCACACTCAAGCTAGACTAAAAGCAGCTTTGTCTGAAATGTTATACAACATCCTTCGGTGATGAAATGCTGTGACCATATGCAGTGCAATTGAATCAAACGTAGAAGCTTGACCACTGGGCTACGCTCTTCTGACTGCGTTGGACGCTAGGGTCCCCAAAGATCGTGCTTGATATACGTCAAGTGTTGGATGATTTACTTCAGAATAGAGAGACAAGTACTAGCAAGCTTCAGTCGAGCTACATGTAATGGTCTTTCGCACAGAACAAATAGTTACAATTTCTATGATTGAACGGTGTAATGTTATCGCCGTCTTTCAAGTACAGCATCGCAATAATAATGTAGGAAGAAAGCCAAAGCTTGGACCACAGCTCGAGCATTGTGTTTCGTACAAGATAAAAGTAGCCTCGAACCATTGTGTTCCGCACAAGAAACAGTAGTCTTGGACCGTTCGTTTGAGTGTCATTTGTTACGCAAGTCTAGTCGTACACGATTGCAGTGCAGACTGCAATTATTACCTTTTCATCGACATCAACCGTGTCTGTTGAGCGCTTTTATGCCCTAGGAAGTCATGTCTTTGCCCAGCTTTTGTTCTTCTTTGTCAAAACTTGAGGCAAAAGATCAGCATAGGAGACTACGCATACCAACTCGAAAGAAAGCAGTATTAAAATATTGAGCTTGAAACTGGACCAACTGTGAACGACGCCGCTTGCATTAGTAATCACAAAAGGAGAGACCTTCTCTTTGGTCGATGCGGTCAAACTAGTAGCTACAATGTTTGCAGAGCTTTTTGGCAAGAGCTGACGAACGTCAGTCCATACGTATAGCGAATATAGCGTTTGCGACTTTTTGATGCTAGCTACTATCGTTATTGTCACGCTCTGTTGACGTTTGCAAGTGAGTGGTTACGAGTGTTGCTTGCTTCGTTCCCCAAAACCGCATCATGAATAAATTACGAAACGAACAACATAAAAAACAAGCAAGTAGTAGATCATGTTGATGATGTCCTGATATCATATGTCGATTTTCAACATGACAGGAAAGTAGCAGGAATAAATTACCAAACACACTGAACCGTTTCAGTGGAACTTGATGTTTGTATGGAACTCGCACGGCTATGTGCTGAACTAGGTTTTTAATTTTTGGAATGTCAACAGAATTATTGAAACTTCAGTAATATACTTTTGAAGGAAAAGTAACAACTACCACGTAAAAAGTAACAATTGGAATTGTAGCAAGAATGGAAAACCCACTGACACTTAACAATAGTAAAATCCTTCCAGATGAGCCAACGCATGGAATCAAGACAAGTAGAGGCTTTTGCGTTGATCCTGTATTGTTTCCAGCACCCAAGTTGTTTTATATACTAAAGGCAGTAGCTCCGTCATCCATGAGTGCCACGGATTCGTGTTATCCTAATTGTATGGACATTGGAGAAGATAAATTGCTACAAATAGAAGAAGAGACCACGAAACATACGAATGTCGATATGGAACTGAAAATAAACGAGGTAGATACGATACAGACGGTGGACTTGGAGGAATTGGGACTTGCTACGGCTTTGGTGGTCTCGGAAGAGCAGGAGAAGAGCATTGTAGTAGACTACGAAGACAGTGACGAAGACCATCATGTGGAATTACGAGAGAAGGAGGTCACGTGTGCTCTTAGCGCATGTGGAACACTGACAGATTCAACAGTAGCAGATACGGACTTAAGCAATGGACGTCTCGCACGTCGTCGTTCTCGCTGCGGCAGCATTGAAAGTGTCAGTTTGAGAGGGAAGAGCGTCATGTTTCAGCAGGAGACTACTACAGAATCATCTCTCAGTACGTCCGTCACAGATGGAAAAGAGAAGATTCGGTGCTCCAAGGTGCACAAGCTATGTATGTGTGAGGTAAAGCAGCACCGTTCACTTGAGTCGTGCTGGCTCGTGTCGAGCGGCCAGGTGTACGATGCGACGGGACTCGTTACAGCGCATCCAGGAGGCATTCGCTCGATCCTACGCAAAGCTGGCGGTCCAGACTGTGCTCGAGATATGCAGTTTCATACCAAAGCAGCTCGTAAGATGATGGAAAAGTGTTTTATCGGCAAGCTTGCGCAGTGCGGCGACGATGTGAACTGCACTGGTGACTCCAATTGCAGCATAATGTAGATCTGGACGTATGAAGTAAGTAACCAACTAGCAAAGAGACTGTAGCGCCTTCTTTCGTACAATTCAATGAACCCAGTAGTAGTTAGAGCATAAAAAACAAGAAGCCCTCAGCGATAGAGACAAACGACAGTAGTCTTGCTTTATTCAAGCGACACTCTCTGCACGACAAGTTACTAACCAGTTTTTCAAGAATCGTGTCCTTCCTGCATCTCGACAGCCTGCAATTTCTTAAAGCTCAGGTAAATTGCTTCATGAACTCAGTCGCGACGATACGGCCACGAGCATTGAGAGAGATCTTCATCTCGCTTATCTCCTTGTCAATGTCCTCCATAAAGGTAATGATAAAGTCAATGAGCTTGTGTTTGTACATATTTTCAAGATGCTGATGTACTACGAGGAAGCTCATGTCGTAGCCATCCACGGGTACTCGCCGCATGACAATAAACTGCTCAGCACGCTGCATGAGGAAGCGGTTGAACTTATGGCTCAGAATAGTCTCAATCTCATCAGCCTTTTTAATGCAAATGCTCACTCGCGTCGAGTTAATAGACGGTTCAATAAGGCATTTTTCCTGTTCATTGCGGCAAAGAAGCACTGGATTCAACACGAGCTCCTTGCTCATTCTATCCAATACACATAGCTCCAATCAATACCTCTCTATTACTAGAAACTACACCAATTGAGAACAAGAAAGACGTACTGCATTTCGACTTCCGGTTTGTTATGACGCTCCACTGTCTGCGACGGAAAGTTACGCAAACATAGCGCCGAGTCCAATGAGCTACGGATTGCATTAAGATATGGGGCGAGTGTATTTGCCTGTTTTAGTGGCAGTTAGTTCACAATGTTAGCGTGAAGTAAGGAAAAGGAAGAGGTCCGTACCATGTTTTTCGATAGGTTGAGTGTGCTTTCGTAGATGATCTGACTATGAGGGACAAGACGACTGCGTTTTTGGGACACAAACCACATGCCGGTATACATACAGGTAAAAAAATGAATCAAGATGTGCACAAAATTATGAAGCATTTCATTTGGGACACAAAAAAACAAAATATGATTCTTTTTTATTTACATTATCAGCAATTTGACTTTAATTTTTTTCTTGGTCAAATTGCTATAAAAACCCTTCAAATGTGATTGAAAATGACGCAGCTAAAATTGCTTTCGCGCTATGCGATCAAGTCTCAAAGGTTTGCACATTTGTATACTCAGACTTTGCTATACGCTTGTATACTACTTACACGCTTAATTTTTTTTAAATTTAGTCACTATTCTGCATCGTTATCTTTACCTCTTTTGAATGTCATTCATCAAGTCATGGCATTCCGCGGCATGTTGCTACAGCTAGTAGAGGCCAAAAGCGAGGCTTCTTTCCACGTCGTAGCACCTGATGCTGAGCTGATCGTACCACATCAGTCTTCTTTTACGTATGAGACATTTCTGACCAAGTGGAGACAGCAGAAACTTGTAATTGCTGACGCCGTTAGCCGCAAACTACTCCAAGTAACGCAATTAGCGACAGTGTCACTTCAACAGGAGGAAAACTCAGTATTATGGGGCGTAAGATCGTATGGTGAGCTTTCAGAGGGTTGTAGAGATAATGCGGAGCCTCTAATGAGTCATGTGGACGTCTTAAATGCTGTTGAGCAAACGCTGCCGGGCCACAAACTGGTGATGACTCAAAACGATGCATCGTTACAGGCGACGGCTGTAGCGTCTTTACTTTGCTATTGTTTTCACTTCCGCTCGAAATTTGAGTACGAATTGTTTGCGCAAACACTTGCAGCCTTTACGCGCATGCAGCAGTATGCGCTTTTACAAAGTTCCGTGTTGATAGAGATGGAGATTAGTCATGAACACAAGAAATGGAGCATGGAGAAGGATGTACGGGCAAAAGCTTTGGTAAGCAAATTTCAGCAAAAACTTGAGGTGGTAGAGACGAAGAAGGAAGAAAAAGAAGAGGAGGAAGAGAAGAAGAAGAAGAAATCGCTGGTGATGCAGCAACATACAACGGATAAGAATGAGGCGAATGTCGTGATTGCGACGCTGTCTGGTGAGATGTTTTGTGTCTTGTGTCGCATACAGAGGGAGCCTAATGCACCTGAGTATCCGAAACATCCGTTTGTGCTTAAGGTATGTGTGATACTAAATATCGCTGCGTGGAAAATGTTACGACTGGAGTGTTAACTTTGTCCTTGCTGAACAGGATGGCAAGGGTAAAGGAGTCCATATCTGCAAGGTGTGCTTGCAGCAAGTGTTGAAGCAGCGTTTATCAGTGCAGGCTAGCGCAAAAATGAGCGGTCAGGACAACATGTGTGGTCTATGCGCCCAGTCGTTTGAAAAGATGTCTGCTAAGTCCGTTAAAGCATGTGCACATGAAGTATGTCCGCGTGTGTATTGCATACCATGTATCGATAAGCTAATTGGTAAGGCACGGGTGCAGAAGGTGTTGCGGACCAAGAACTGGCTGTGCCCAAATTGCTCCATGGATAATGACAGTGCATCTGCTGATGAGAGGGCGAACTCAGTTGGATCGATGTCTGTGGAGATTGTTGAAGCAGCTTCAGCACCTAGACAGAAGAAGCGTAAGCGACGCAAGGAGATTGCGGGAAAGAGCGGAGCAGATGAAAAAGGGCCACTAGAACCTTCGCCTTTGATACCAGCTTGCTCAACGTCGGAGATGAAACTGATTGATTATGCCGCAACGTATTTCAAGTTCTTGCTGAAGCGTGAAAAAAAGGATATATTCAAGGAATCGGAGGACGTGTGTTTTTGCTGTAAAGATGGCGGAGGTTTGATTGAATGTGATTGGAAGGGAATGAATGGCACTTTCGAGCGCTGCCCCAAAGTGTACCATGAAGGTAAGCGAACAAACACAGTTACGTCCTGTCTTCTACTGACTTTTTCTTGTGATTGCGACAATAGACTGCTTAGGCTACAAAGTACCAGAGGGTAAGACGTGGGTATGCCCGCGCCATCGCTGCCAGGACTGCGGCATCATTGCTCAATACTCTTGCCGATTTTGCGTCACATCGTATTGCGAGGTATGCCAGTTGCAATGTTTCTTGCTTACGGTTAACATTGAAGTGCAAAACGTTTTGAGTACTGAATGTGTATGGTATCTATCAGGATCACTTGCCGAAAGATGTTAAAACACTTGGCCACGCGACAAAAGACATTCCTACTTCCACCTACGTGATGTGCCCCAGGTGCAACCAGCAAGCTAACGACGCTTTTGAGCAAAAGAAGGTAAGCTCAAGTCTCCACGCCAAGCTCTTCCGACGACGGCGCGCCAAACGTTATTAATGGTTAGTATTCCAAAGTAATACAGCATATGCGACGTGTCTTATCAACACGAGTTGTAATACAAAATTCTTGTTCGGAGCCGTCGTGACCAGCCCTTGTCAAGTGTCAAGACAAAATAAAGCTCGTGTTGGAATAGTCTTCTAGCAGTGGGTTGTACCTATACACATATTGCAGACAATATCCGTTTTGTTAGCAGTCGGCAGACGTGTTGTCCAAGTATTGCCCTGCATATATAGCACGGTATGTCATATAATCACGTACCGAGTGATCGTCTTGGTCTTTTGTAGATCAGCAAACTCCTTCAAAAATTCTGACGACTTGATGACGGAAACCTGTAGGCACAAGGTTGACAAAGGTCGTCAACTTCTGCGGTTCTGGCAAGTTATAGTCGTGTTGTCAATCTTACCTCATGAGGCTGACGCTGTAGCGTGGAGCAATACGCTTTTTTAAGTCGATTAAAGTCCGTGGCAAAGAAGATGTCAGCAATCCCGCCTTGCACCAGGTACGTGTCGTGATCCTTCGTCACATCTACAACAAAGAATCCATTAGCCTCGTTCGATATTGCAGTCATACTATATTTGCTGCAGTCTACTTTTGACTTTCGACGCAACAAGTGGTGCATTGCCAGCAAAAAGCGTCCCAGACGATGTCGCTGTGGGACTCAATTCATGTCTGATAGCCTTGATCGGTGACGTAGTATCCAGGTTTGGCGCCGGGAGCGAGTCAAAATCAGCAGCAATCAAATGGTGTTTTGGAAATACCGTGCGGAGGGTGTTAAGCAGCTGCATTGCACCCGTAGGAATAAACGACGAGTAAAGTACGGGATCATCGTTCTTCAGCATACGTCGTACTCGCTGTGCTAGACTAGTATTATACTTGTACGACACACGGAGTGGCAAATCACAGCCAAAGTGACGAAGTGTCTGATGAATCAACATGTCCTCCAACGGTCGCATGGCTTCATATAGCACTGGACCTTCTGTCGTCGACTTGTCTTCATAATTCTGTATCTTGACAACAGTCTCGTACCATTTGCCATTCTGTAGTGTCACTTTATCATGTGGTAAATTATCCAGCACCTCTAGCGCTAAAACAAAGCATGGCGTGTTTATTTTTGTCTTGTATGTATCTGCAAAGGTCAAGAAATCCTGATGAAGGACTGTACATTGCTGTGGATGTACAGCAGCTACTCGTTTCTTCTGTCTTTCAGCCATAACAGGACTAATTTCAATCAAAGTATACTTGGTCTTTGCATACACATGAGGTACGGTATCCTTTAAATAATTGAGAATATAAAGTGCATTTGATCCAGATCCACCACCAATTTCATAAATTACAAGCTCTTTCGCAAGAGACCAACAAGCTGAAGAATCCAGAATGTAACGTGCTACTGCGTGTGAATAATACGGTGCAAAGATCTCGACAGGTGTGAGCCAAGCTTCAGCATGTTCTTTATATAATACATCTATCCTATGACGATATTCTCCAGCACCCCATAGATTATTGAAATTAATCTTTTCAAGAGGTGCATGTAATACTTTACGCTCGTAAGTGGTAAAATAACCATTTTCCTTGGCATATAACGATCTAGCGATAAAGTTACGTGTTAAGAGCGTATTGTCTGTATCATGAGATTCAATTGATGGTATAGATGATGATGTATGTCGACGTGTCAATACGTTTGGTAAGACTGGTAACGTATGATGACGTCGAGTACGAGCGACAAGTCGTTGGCTAGTGCTTATCATTATGATGAAAAAAAAACGAATAGAGCATAAATTACCATGTCACGAAGAAAGAATGTAATTTATTATTGCGACTCATTTTATAGACTATTTTTTATCCTCTTTTTTATAGTCTTCGTACCCATATTTTATCTACCAGGTTGTATCGCACTACTACTTTTGAACAAAAGAATTATCGCGAGGAAGCATGTCAAAAGCATGTACATTAGAAAATGGGGTCTTGAATCTTGCAGTCCTTCGTGAAGATTCTCGACGTGAACTGTTTTCCATACTAGACTCTATTGGAAAAGATATATGTTTTGTATTAGATCCAGATTTGAATGGACCGTTAAATCATGTACTTGTTGATGGCACAGCAGTCCTGAAAGATCATGGGGTGAAAGATTTTCATGCATTTGGTAAAACCGTTAAAACAAATTGTGAATTTGTTCTATTTCTAGTTCGACCATCTGTACGTGCTGTACGTTATGTCGCGAAATACATTCGTGATCTAGGAATGGAGAAATCCGTGTCAAAGAAACGTTTTTATCTGTATTACGTCAGTCGCCGGACACTTGTATGTGACGAAGTATTGAAGAAAGAAGGTGTTTTTGGAAGTGTGAGTATCGGTGAATATAAACTCGACTTGATTCCATTTGATGACGATGTCTTGACACTTGAGCTTGACTCGTGTTTTCGAGAGTTTTATGTGGATGGAGATAAGACGAATCTTCATACTATTGCAGCCTCACTTATTAAACTTCAGACCGTGTTTGGGATGATTCCACATATTAAATACAAAGGTACAATGGCCAAAGTTATTTATCAAATGATGGCACATTTTCGTCGCGAACAAGAGGTGGCAGGGAACCCCATTGGTGTACTGGATCCCGAGATTGATACACTTGTCTTAATTGACCGCAATGTGGATCTAGTCACACCCATGTGCAGCCCCATGACGTACGAAGGACTGTTGGATGAGATTTTGGGTATTACACATGGATTTGTGACGATCGACGCCGAGCTTATTGCAGATGACGACGGACCCAACTCGGGGAATACCAATCGACCTGCCCAAGTGTCAGTGCCGCTCAACTCGAATGACAAATTGTACGCAGATGTGCGCGACTACCACGTCGAGCGGCTTGGAATGAACTTGCAGCAGCAGGCGCGAGAGATTCGCGAGCGCTACGACGAATTCCGCAAGAATCGGGACGCCTCGATCAGCGAGATTCGAGAGTTTGTCAAGCGTATTCCAGGCCTCAAGCAGAATTACCAATCGCTGCAACAACATATTAACCTGGCTGAACTAATCAAGAAGACCACGGATTCGAAAAGATTTCGTGATCTCAAGGACGCCGAGAACCTAGTTCTCACTGGTGAGACGATTTTCGAGCAGCTCGAAGAGCGTATCGGCTTTCAGGAACCGCTGCTTGGCATTTTGCGTCAGTTTTGCCTGCAATCGGTGGCTGCAGGCGGAGTCAAGACAAAAAACTATGCGCATCTCAGTCGAGAGCTTGTGCAGACGTATGGCTTTGAGATGATGCTGGCATTAAGTAATTTGGAAAAGGCTGGGCTACTTTGTAAGCGCGACACCCTTTGGAACGACGCTAGCGGCTTTGGTCTTGCTCGTAAATCCTTTCGTCTGCTGAACGAGGACGTGGACCCTCGCAACCCACGTGATTGTGCTTATGTCAGTCGTAGCCACGCTGCTGGTTATGCTCCGCTGTCGGTACGTATTGTAGAAAGTGCAATTAAACCCCGTGGTTGGAGCGCTGTGCAGGAAGGCTTGCGTCAGCTTCCAGGGGCCTCGGGAGAGATCTCACAGACGGCTAGTAAACGTTCAGGCGACGATCCTGCAGCTTCTGCTGCCACTTCTAAGCTGGACAATTTTGGCACTGAGGAGCGCAAAGTGTTGCTTGTGTACTACCTTGGTGGTGTAACCTTTATGGAGATTGCAGCTCTGCGTCATGTGTCCCGTCAGCCTGACTGTAAGTTGTCTGCGATACAAAGTCACCATGCGTTAATCTTTCTAGGTATGACCAAATGCTTACATTTGTTTTTTATGTATGACAAGGCCCATATGACATTATTGTGGCAACGACAAAGATCATCAATGGCGACACGCTGCTCAAGTCGTGTTTTGACAAGGAGGTGCTGCGCTTTCTAAAGCTCTAAGAACGGTCGTGATTGAGTCTTCCATGTCCAACAAGACGATAGGAAACGGCAAGTGATTCGAGGAAGGCGAAGACGATTGTAATGCGTGGAAAACATGGTGTCAAATGTGCTCTGCTTTGACCTCAAGATCGTGTCATAGCTATACAATGAAGTTGTTCCCTGGATGCTGGAAGTGCAATCGCCAGCAATATCATTGGATCCCAAGAATTGTAGCAGTAGACCCTTTCGTCGATAGCTTCAATCTCTATTTGTAAAAGTTTACTGGAAACTTAAGCGCGGCAGCATCACATAGTCTTAGGAAAAACAACCAATAGCAAGCGAGAGTGATGACTAAGATGTTCACACCAAACGTGCCACATCAAACGATACTGCCTGTCTCGTCTGACGTTGCCTCCGAATGTTATTGATCGAGCAACTTTATTTATTCAACGTGTGGCTATCGAAAGAATCAGTAAATGTCCACCGAGCTTTGTATCTTGTGCAGCGTCATACCAGGACGGACCTTGTACTGTTGAAGTCACCTGCCCAGCGGAGTTCTGCGAATTCTTTTCTTCGCAGAACCTTATCAAAGAACTAACCTTTGCTTCGGAGCATGCGCGACTTGCATGTACTTGGTCTCGATCATAGCGTGCTCAGATCGTGTGTTCTTTCAATCTTACCGCTACACTTACCAATTTTTCTTTTTCTCATACTGGGTTGTAAGAAACGATGCGGCATTGCAACTCATCACTGGATCTTGACTGTCTTGAGACCGGTTTCTTGTAGGAGGTGACGACGTTTTATCTCTTCGGTAGAAAGTAGGGTATTTCGCGTGATAAAATCGTCGCCATAATGTCGATCGAGATTCATAGAAGCTCTGATACGCTTAGAGTCGGTTGAAACTGTTTTATGATTATAGTACCCAACTCATCTCTGCTCTCCCAGCTTTCAAGACTTCAACATACGCGGCAAATTCAAAAACAGGCGCAAAAATGACAAGCAATGTTGTGTCCATTCAACATATACAGATGTCAATTGAGTGAAATCTTCGACAAAATCCTCTTACTTCAACAAGAATTTTTAGATGGACAACGAGGTTTGCAAGAGCTTCTAGTAGACGGCCCCTGCGTGCAGTGGCACTGCTGGTATAGAATGCCGCTTGCTCTGAGCCAGAAGCTGATTTATAAAGTATAGGCCATAGCTTGCAAAAGGTGCAACGACTGCGCTGGATGTAGAAAAGACAAACAGGTCATACATATCCTTATACTATATGTATACGGTTTTGTCTATGCTATGCAAATAGTTTGTCAGTCATGGCTGTGACTCTTAATTCAATATCTCTAATTTGTATTTAACTTTTCTTTGTACACATGAAGTTTCGAATCATATGAACTTAACATGGTGTTCAATTCAACCTCCTTCTTTTCTAGCCAAATATCTTAGTCTTATCCTCAATGATATAAGCTACGAGTCTGGATTGCATCTGACTTCCTTATCTTTTTCGTGTGAGTAGTCACTTTTTTGTGATGCTTGAACTTGAGGGAGTTCCTTATTCTTTTTCTCCCAATAGAAAGTCAAGTACTGCCGCGAGTCATTTCGGGAGGGATGACTTACCACTACGTATTCGATTGATGATGACGAGCTCCATTTGCCTACGTAATAAGGTCTCACTTGGTTCATTTTGGAATTTCCCATCAACTGCTCAAGACGCAATAATATTGATTCGTAAAGTATCTCAAAGGTATGTCTCGTTTGGCTGGTGTTGAAGTTGGTGGTACGACGTGGGTAGCGGCCATTGCAAAGGATCATCCAGAAAATATTTTGGAGAAATTTGAGGTTGATACGACAACGCCTAATGAAACAATGGATGCTATCATTAACTGGCTCAAGGAACGTAAATTTGACTCACTCGGTATTGCATCATTTGGCCCAGTGGACTTGAATAAAAAGTCACCTACATATGGTTACATTACAAGTACACCCAAGCCCAATTGGGGAGATACGGATGTTGTAGGTGTGTTTAAACGTGCATTTCCTGATGTACCCATTGGATTCGAAACGGACGTGAATGCACCGGCGCTATATGAAGTGGCATACGGTGGCCACGGTGATATCACTAGTGCCGTGTACATCACGGTGGGCACGGGTGTCGGTGTCGGTGTGTGCACAAACGGTAATGCCATTCACGGCTTTATGCATCCAGAGGGTGGTCATATTATGGTCCCACCTGCTCCACAGGACATTAAGACAAACTTTAAGGGTGTTTGCCCATTCCATGGTAATTGTGTTGAAGGGATGGTGGCAGCAGGTTCAATCGCTGCACGAACGGGTGTAGATCGTCGTGATCTAGCCACAATCACAGACGATGATCCGGTATGGGATACGATCGCACACTATCTCGCCAATTTGTGCGTTAATGTGACATTCCTCACATCTCCTGACGTGATTGTAATTGGTGGTGGCATTGCTCGTCGAGAAAAGCTATTTGATTTAATCCGTGAAAAGTTCGTAGCGCGTGTTAATAAATACGGTCAGCAACCACCTGTGGAGAAATATATCCGTGCATCGTTTCACCCAGCCATTGGTCTCGTGAGCTCACTGCATTTAGCCCGTCTCGAGCTGGAGCCCAAGTTATGAGTCAGATGAAGATCATGTCTATTTCGCCCACGTTCGTAGTAGAAGTAGTAAGATAGAAGCGAAGAGGGCGAGATAAAGACTTCGTAGTTGGTTGGTCATGCTTGATGATAGGTTATATAAAATAAAAAAAATACAGCCACAGAAATTTGTGTCTTAAAATGACGTTTTTATTTATAAAACTTATGTAGTTTATAGTAATTTTTGGCTTTAGTTGCTTAGTCTTTTTGGACAATATCTCTTTGACCTAATAATTGTATCGACACCAGCTAAAACGTAGGGTACATAAAATTATCCAAACCTCGTTGGATTTTTGTAACCCTTTTGAGCAAAGATTATTCGACCGTCACATAATCTCCATAAAGTCTCGTCGTAAAATGGCCGATTCTCAAGACGCAGTGGCTTCGTACGTTCTTTTCTTTCTCATGTATTATACATCACTAAAACCTCATGCTTGTATTACTGTAGATTTATGAGCATCACCGGTGCTGACCCTGCTAGCGCAACGCAGTTCCTAGAGGTTTGTTATGCTTTCATCATTTCAACACGTTTTTATGCTGCTTAAACGTTTAAATGTTGAAATTTCGAACCGTTTAAACGTTTTTATGTCCAGCTAACAAACTGGCAATTGGATGAAGCGGTATGTTTTTGTTGGTTTTACTCTGGTTTTACTGTCTTTTATCCTTTGAATTAAACCATTTTTACGTGTTTTTACTTTTAGGTGAATCTCTATATGGAAAGTGGCGGTCAAACTGTATCAACGGCGTTCAGAAGTTTCGATGACAGTGCATCAAATGGCAGTATCAACTCCTTCAATCCTTCTGTAGCTTCAATATCAGATATGGATCCAGCTACAGCTGCTGCTATTGCTGCAGCTTATGGAGACGAGTGTGTTGTATTTTGTGATATTTTTTGGAGATAGTCACGTGATAAGTGTGGGTTTTTGAACGTGTTATTGTGATGTTAATGTGATTTTTGAGTAGTGAACAGACTGTTCGTGCACCTGATCCATCCAAGCGTCAGCGTCTTGTTGGTGCAGAGATGAATAACCTTGGTGGGTCAAGTAAATCAAAAGCATTATTTCTGTGGATACAAGGAACAAGCGACTTATGTCGTTGTTGTTGTTGTTGTTGTTGTTGTTTGTTTATTTGTTTTTTGTGTGTATTTACATTGACATTACAGTGCAACCCATGCGCCATCTGCGCGACCAAAATCGCAACTTTGCAGCAGAAACCATTGCAGCAATGACAGGTGGTAGTATTTCCACGGATTTTGGAGGTCCCAATGCAGCAGCATTTGGGGATGCTACAAATGGATTGAACGATGCAGATGGTGCAAATAACGAGCGCACACGTGATTTGAGCACGCTGTTTCAACCACCGACGACGATCATGTTTCAGGGAACTTATGCTGATGTGCGTGCTTTTGTACTTTCTTTTCGTGGTTATTGTCGGATTGTTTTGTATGGTCCTTAATGTTGATGCCGGAATACTGTTGTGATGGTGACACTAGGCTCGCACTCATGCGAAGAACGAGGGAAAGTGGCTCATGGTGAATATTCAAGACGAAATTGTCTTTACAAGCCATATGCTTAACCGTGACACGTGGAGTGACGACGTGGTGCAAAATGTCGTGGCAAGCGGCTTTGTATTCTGGCAGGTACATCATTGCAGCTTTACTACTAATTCGTCAGCTTTGGATGCTGTTGGTTACAAAAAGTTGTGACACTACTGCTGCTGTTGTTGCACAGAATTACTGGGCGTCGGAGCACGGTAAAAAGTTTTGTAGTCTCTACCAGATTGACCGTGACTCGCTCCCGATCATTGTGATTATTGATCCACGAACAGGAGAAATCCGACAACGATGGACGGGTTTTCTCGAGCCGCAGGATATGACTGAAAAATGTACGGCAGTAGCTGGGGCAATCGATTAACAGGTTATCGGCTATCTTCAAAATTTGACTTGATCATATGTTCCTCTTTCGTGACAGTATCGGATTTCTGTTGTATGCAAACCCTTAATGCGCCACCGACTGAAGCAAAGAAGGTATGGGTTAAAGTGGTCATGTGGCGGGTAAATAGGGGGTAGCTTAACACTTTTGATGGATCACTGCAGGAGGGTGATAGTAACATCATGGATGCGTCGGAAGATGATCAATTGGCTGCAGCAATCGCTGCGTCAATGCAGGGTAATAACGGTGGCAGTGACGAAGGCGAGATGAAGCATTCCGAAGACGCCATGGACCTTGAGGACAAGCACGAAGAGGAGACGGTACAGGAGCCCTTTGTGGCCTTGACCCCAGAGCCTGATGGTACTGCATGGCGAAGTATATTGTACATCTTGGTTGACTTTTCACCGATTTTTTGACACTCTACTGTTTCTGTTTTGGACCCAGCTGGATCCGCCAGCGTAACTCGATTACAGATCCGCGTACCCGACGGTTCTCGCTTAACGCGGCGCTTCCTCAAGACTGATCCGTTAGCTATGGTGTGGTCATTCGTGAGGGATCAGGTCCCGGAAGCTCGAGGACGTGCGTTTGAGCTGCGCACTGCATTCCCGCCCAGCGCGGTGGCCTACAACGACACGTTATCGATTGAAGAGGGTAAGCTCGAGAACGCATCATTGATGGTCAAATGGTTGTGAGCAGGGAGGATATGGACGTAAAATCAGCTCTTTTTTCTGCCAGAGATCACTGGTGCGACGGGCTTCTTGATGTTGTCAGTCCTTCTTCGTATTTTTTCAAATTATGCTACGTGCAGTAAGCGGGTACAAGGCAAGCTTCGCACGCAATAACATAATAGCGAACGACACGGCGTCTTATATTCTCGTCATACATTACATCATTCCTACTTCCACTACTAGTCAATAGAGCAATCGCTTTCAATGAGCATAGGAGGTAAACTATGAACGGGCTTGCCGCTTCGTTAAGGCCACAATCACGAGAAGGCGGAACGTCATTATGAACACTACCAGCGCAAAAAGACGGAAAGCCACATTACCGCGTTCGGCACCGTACTCGATCTCTGCGTAAGAGAACACCGCGAGATTCATACCAAAGTGGCGTTCATCCGATGGAATCAATCGTAAATCGCGGCGTGGCATTTCACGTTCAGCTTGAACGCCTCATAGGCGCAAGACTCGGCGGCAGCACCAAATATGAGTGCTTGCAGAATCGGAAGCGCAAAGCGTTGAGGCATCAGCGACACTATCAACGACGTCAGTCTGCTCAAAGCACTGCTTTTCCACGACCATATGAATGTCAACAATGGAAGCAGATTGATGCCAGCTACTGTAATTGCAGCAATGCTTTTACTTGGTATCAACTGGACAAGCCATTGGCTAGATACACCTATCCAAGAGCAAAGATTGCAAGAGGAACCAGAAGAGTGCAAAGTTGCCACTCTTAGCAACCGCCAAAACCCAAGATGTGAATGTGACCATTGCAGCTACAAGCGTGATCCCAAGCACAAATGCCAACTCCACAGCGATGGAACAGACGTGACAAATCACTGCAAGATACGCTCGCCAAGCTCGCTCACGGCACCAGTACGCATTCTCCCTCCAAGCATTTCTGTGACCAGACCAGGCAATTGCACTGAGCGCAAAGCTAGCTCCTAATAAAAGAGTTGACCAGGCAATTAGCATTATACCATGATTCACTCCATCGAAAGTATCATACTCTGTGCTCCTTGTTGGAAGGCAGACCCAGACGAACCATATGAACGCTATAATGAGTACTAGGAGTTGCCACTGCATGGTCGTTGCCACCGAGTTAAGTAAAAACAAGCTACACCAGTAGGATAATATCTCGCGTCGCATGAGCCACCTTATCTGCATGTGCCATGAAGCCGCCTGCGCCCGCAGGTTTCCACTCTTGTAAGCTGCGATTAGTCCCGGTACGTGCTGCTCTTTCAAGTGTGGATGCAGGTAGCCCACGCGCTGCATTTGTGAAAGCAGTCTTTTCCTAGTTTCACTGCGCTGGAAAGACCACACAAAGCGAGTCTCCTTCTCGCTATTTACAATGTCGATAGTATTCAAGATTAAGCCACCACGTTGACCTTTTTTCTTCTTCGTGTCCATGCGAGCTTCACAGCCTCTAGCCGTTGCCGTCGTGACTCCAGATCTTTTACCCAAACTTTCAAGCGCCCATGTGATAACAGTTTTGCCACTGCCCGACCTCTTTACACCCGGGAGAGCTCTCAAGTATTGCACCATCAGGCAAGTTTTGCCATGAAAAATTGTCTCGCCATTACTCGACAGCAGTAGTACTCGATCGAACGCGCTCGACTCCGAATCAGGCATACTACACATGACTGTCCGGCCGATACGAGCCACTTGTTCCAACACGTGAATAATTCTTTGCACACTATTCGCGTCAAGGCCAGAAGAAGTATGCTTGGAGAGAATGCAAGCTCCACCCCAATTGCAACAAGGCGAGCCTCCACCAAAGAGCACGAGCTTATATATTGTTCAGCCAGATCTAAAGAGCGTCAGACAAGATTCGACGGTTTTAAGCTTATAAGTTTCCGGGATATCATCGCCTTCGCGGAGGCAGGTACTGAGGCACACAGCTTCACATACTGTGGTCGTTCCATGCCAAACAACATGTTCAGCACCAAACCAACAGTATCCTGTGGCATGACGCCGCAGCATAGCGCTGACTTCGTTCCCTTTGTAGAATATTTTGCCCACCGTCGGATCTTCTTCACCAGCCAGAGCGCTTAGGAATGCGGAGTTGCCAGCCCGGCTTGCTCCTACTACCGCAGTTAACGCGCCTGACTCAGCATAGCCAGTAACATCTTTCACCACATTCGTTGGCTTCTTGAAGCTCTCACTTACTTGTCCAGCACACGTGATGTTGTCGAAAGCTAACATTAGCAAATGCCCACAACGTACCATTAACACTTGGATGTAATCTCGCACGTGCGCAGGTTCTGCAGTACAGTTTCCGACCTCTTCACTTCACGCAGCAGCGTCACGTAAACTCCGTATCTCGTGCGACGAATGCGCCGTCACAGCCAAGACGTCCTTCGCATACTTGATGAAGTTTTGAGTGACACGTCTTTAACTTGGTCCTTTTCTTCGTGATGTCAACCTTCGTCGCGTCATTAGTCTGTAGTTTATTATTGAATAAAATGCTACTCAAGGTTGAACTCACGCTCATTGATCCAGAAGAAACTTTTATGGAAGTCGGTATACTCGCGGACGTCAATATACAACTGCTGTCCTCCATCTCTTCCGTGCAAATCGTATTGTCCTCAGTATCGTCACAAAAAGGAGACGACACATCGATCATAGCCGCAGGGCTGTCTGCCGTCGTCGTCCCACCCTCCTCAGGCAGGCCATCTGACTCGATCTGTGACGTCTCTACCGTATACGTCGTGTCCTCCGACGTTTCTGTACTCTCATGCGGTGATGGCACATCTGACACCTCCTTGAACGCCTCGATCGTACACGTCGCGGTCTTCGCCGTCTCAGTCACATTCGGAGCAAATGGCACATCCGATGCCACCTCTGACGTCTTAAAAGGCACGTCGTAGTCGCCGCCGTCTCGGTTGTTTTGTCAGCGAATGGCACATCCTTTGCCACGTCTAATGTCTCAATCGTACACGCCGTCTCCGACGTTTCTGTACTCTCATGCGGTGATGGCACGTCTGACACCTCCTTGAACGCCTCGATCGTACACGTTGCGGTCTCCGCCATCTTAGTCACATCCTGGGTCGATGGCATATCTGATGCCACATCGGACACATCCATCGTACCCGTGGTGGTCTCCGTCGTATCGGTCATAACCTGAGTGGATGGCACATCCGATATTACGTCTGACTTCCTGATCGTGCACATCTTCGTCTCCGCCGTCTCGTCAGAAATGACGATGCCGGCTTTGATATTGTGGCCGTGAAAGTCTTCATGTCTTCCACTTCGTTAAATGTCCCCGTTGTCACAATCGTGTTTGACGTGCCGGCCGAAAATCTTACCTCGGTCGTCGTCTCTACCTCAATCGTCGTCACCAGCGCGCCAGTGTCGGATTTAATGGTTTGGCCCGTGGTGCGGACCGTCTTGGTCACAATGGTACCGTTGGATTCCTCCGAGGAGAACACTTCAGTCTTTACCGACTTGTCTGGTGCAGCGCTAGCCTGCTCCGTCGTACTCACGGCAGTATCACTAGAAGCAGACGCTATGCTCGCTGACGTCGACGTGGAACTGCTTTCCTCCTTACCATTTTTTTACAAGTCCCCGTCGCAACGGTGGTGCTAGTCATGCCATTTGGAGATTCCGTCTCGGTCGTCGTCTTTACCTCAATTGTCGTCACCAGTGCGCCATTATCCGACTTGACGGTGTGGCTTGTGGTGCGGACTGTCTTAGTCACGATGGTACCATCGGATTCCTCCGAGCGGAGCACTTCAGACTTTACCGATTCACCTGATGCAGTACTCGTCTGCTTCGTCACGCTGACAGCTGCAGCAATGTTTAGGAATGTGACAGAGTTATGGTCTGTTGCGGTTGGGCACCTGTTGTGATACGCGGCAATGTCGATACTGGCAGGTGTGACATTTCCACCAGCAATGACAGCAGTATCATCTGCATATCTCATGAGAATAGCGAAATTCTTTATAAAGTGATTGGAGCTATCACGCAGCTTAAAATCAGTTGGTACTGTGACACAAAAACGATCTTTCTCCTCAGCAGTCAGGCTCAATAAAAACTGTGCTACCTGCTGTTCAGGGGCATATTGATACCCCAAGTCATGTAAATACTTCACGATTTCTTTACTAGTCCCATGGTACACCACATCTCCATTTTGCAAAACAAGAAGGACATCAAAACCTTCGCAAGCATCGGTTTTCGAGCGCCGGAGCATAGAAACCGTCACTTCCTTGCGCAAACGATGGTTGCTGTCGCAGTTATGCGAGACCTCGTCCACAATCAGCACATTCTGATCACCAAAATCTTGCACAAGCATTTGAGAAGCTACAATTGGGTAATGATATGCAAGCTGCACCACCTTCTCCCAGCATTCTTCATTCGCCTCTATTGAGCCACAATCAAAGAATTTTGGACGGAACTCAATAAGGTTTTCTCGACAAAATTACACGCATTCTCCAGCAGATCCTTCGCGGACAGCGATTCAATACGCTTGTCGTGATTTTCCAGATAGGATAGAAAGTGTGGGTGCCACTGCGGATGGTACTGTTGCTTTATCCTAGTCATGAACGAGTAGTGATTCTTTCCTTTATTATGCGCCAGGGCGGCGGAGACATTGTGTCTTGCCACAAGTAAAGCAGCTTTCTTCCCAGAATCTTGAAAGTCAATGCCGTCATCTGCATTGCTTTTCTTTGTCTCTGTTGACACACTGGTGCCTTTGACACCATCGTTCGTCTCCGTTTCTGCTGTCGACTCCACTTCGAACGGAATTGTTGCAACTTTATCCATCAGTCCTCGTTGTCTAGTGGTAGAAACCGTCTTGGTCGCATCGTACTCATCATTTTGCACTGTGTCGAACAGCTGCGTCTGCACGTCACCGTCCGGACGCTTTTCCTGTATGGAAATCACGCCTTGGTCAACTACGTTTCCGTGCTAGTTTCTTCAGCAATGGACGTAATCTTAGCACCATCTTTGGTCTCTGTCTCAGTTGTAGTCTTCACTTCAATAGTCATGACTAGATTTTTCGATTGAGAACAGCGCGTTGTTGTTTTTGTGGTACGAACTGTTTTGAGTACGACGCTACCGTCCGCATCCGTTGAGTGAAATACCTGTGTATGCACATTTGTGCCTTCTTGTAGCTGGTCATTTTCTTTCCTAACCGCATAGTAATTCTCAATTATATTAATGCCTCCAAACTCATCACCGCTCTCATCAAAAGTGACAACCTTTTGGCTACTTGTCGAGTCAAAACTTGAGCGTTCATCATTGTCACTCAACCTCGTCATCTTCGATCTTGCTATTGGGATTCCCCATGTCCGTGAATGTTTTTTACCCACTTGATACCTCCCTCACCAGATGGTTTGATACTATCAAATCACTACTATTGATGTTGTAAACTCGAAAATGAAGGTGCTATTCAAACACATTCAAGTGTTTTCACCATAGCTTTTTTGTATCCATTTTAGCAGTTTTAGTTTGACCAATCCGGATGAGCCGCTTGAATCAGGTCGTAGTCTTAGTTCACAGTGGTGCATCGCATTCGTATGTCGAACGTAAGCAATGATATGGAATGGAAGAAGGAGAAAAAGACGAAAGGATAAGTGTCGTTTGCAACAGTTTACACATTAAGTTCTTAAAAAATGGACCTTTCGATGTTTAGAATAGAGACGCAAGCTCTTGTCATTTTGCTTGGGATGAACTACATTTCAATGTCCCCCTCCCGCCAGCGGGATGATAAAACGGTCTGTCTAACTCGTGTATGGTATCATCACTTCCCAGTTTTACATCTTGCAGCAGTATGCCTCACCCAATGAGGAATTTTAACGCTATAACATTTTCCTGCCAACTCAAGTCGCAGTCGCCTGAACAATCTTTTGTAGTCACTAACGGCAAGTCTCAACTTGCTCCATTTAACCTTTAATCGGTCTATCTAGCTGTCTGTCTATCTATTATCTATCTATCTATCTACCCGTTGTCCACTCGCTCAGCTGCGTCTCCAATATCTGCCTCAAACAAGGCAATATCAAATTTTCATCCAGGGTTTTTTTCAAAGACGAGTGAGTGAGTTATCTAGAACTATGGGATACGCCACCATTGTACGACGTCAACCGTGACACTTGGTATCCTCACCGCTTGTTCAGTCATATACATCCATTCATACAGCATGTTTAAAGTGCGAAGAAAGCATTAACGTCAACAGCACGAAACAACTGCTTATCATGCCCACAAATGGATTGTTATTGTTTGTTAATGGTAAGAAACCGCAACCACTTCGGCCAGCAGCTTTTTGATTGGCCCCGATGCTTCCAACTGATTTAAAAGATGTCTTCAAACTCGATATCTGTCGATAGTTCCTGTATCGTTATTTGCAGCTTTTCCTGCGGCGGGTTATTGTCGCATATGCAGTCGTCATCGAGCTGTTTCATGCCTCCAAGACTCTCTTTAATTGAAACTAGCATACAATGTTCTTCGTCTTGCTGCAAAACTCTTGTTCAGCAATGCCGCTTGTAAAAGTACTCATCAGGCAGTGCTTTAAGAGCTCAATTTGTGCTGAACAAACAGTGACAGTTGTCTTTCAAACTTAATGATCGTTTTTTCAAATTGCTACTCACCTCCACATTATTCTCAGACCAAAAGACCACTCAACAATGGTCTTATGTCAACGCAATGCTGTAAAAGCGTGCAAGTTATCTTCCTCTTAACTTGAGGTGAGACTCATGTCATCTTTGGTGCTAAAAACACCACTAGCGTGTTTCATTGTTAATTAGTTTGATGATCGTGTTGCAATTATTGTTCATTGTCAAAACCTTTCGCTGGAAATTTTCCAAGTCAAAACGTCGGTCCAGCTCTGACTCAGCCTTCTCTCAGACTACAGTGCCGCACAATCTTAGAAAGATGGGTGGCCCCATTCAAGAGTGATATGCATAGCTCCAGTTTTTTTCTCGAAAAACATCGAACATGACAATTTGAACCGAAACTAGATTCACAGGGAGAATTTGAAAGGCAAAAGCGCGGCCCAAGGGCTTTAGTCGTTTCTACATTGTAGTGCCCTGCGATCTTTAATTATCTCAAATGCTTTGCACAAACCCGTTTAAAGAGGTGAGTCGTGCATAAAGCATCCATTATCCACCGACTCAACGCTTGATCTTTCGGTGGCGTCCTTGAAGTCTCTTTCATATCATTTTTGCTTTTGCGCACTCAAGAGCAAGTAAAGTGCTGGAATTCCAGTGGATTTAGTGTATCAAGTAAGTGCTAAGTGTTGAGTATCGAATATCAAGATCATGGGTGGAGCCGAATCAGCTGAAATGAATCCCAATCAAGTGAAACAAGTGGCGGCCAGTGACAAGACAAAGAGGAATGAGAAACATATGAAGACAGTGGATAAAAATGTATCTCAAATCACGGAAGAAAACGTACGTGTGACGGACTTTGAGGCTGTGAGTGAATTGAAGCGCAACGTCAAGAAGAACGAGAAGTGTCCTCATGAGCCGGAAACAGAACCAACACATAGCAAAATCCCTGCCAACAATGGAGGAGTCAAGACTGAAGTGTTCCAGTCGCAGGAGGCCGACGGCAGCATCGTGACAAAGACGGTGAAGACGACGACACGCACTTCGACGTCTGCTAGCGGTGAGCTGGTGAAGACAATCGATGTGGAGACGACGACGGAGACGGAGACAACTTCTGGCGAGAAGAGCACCACGGTGGAGATGGAGACGCGCGAGGAGACGGAAGTGGAGGAGAGCAGTCTCATGACGACGCCAGGCAGCGCGACAACGTCCGTTTCAGGTGCTCAGGTCATCCGCTCCACCGTGGAGGCTGGTACGACCCCAGATGAGTCGGTACAGACTGAGGTGTTCCAATCGCAGGAGGCCGACGGCAGCATCGTGACAAAGACGGTGAAGACGACGACACGCACTTCGACGTCTGCTAGCGGTGAGCTGGTGAAGACAATCGATGTGGAGACGACGACGGAGACGGAGACAACTTCTGGCGAGAAGAGCACCACGGTGGAGATGGAGACGCGCGAGGAGACGGAAGTGGAGGAGAGCAGTCTCATGACGACGCCAGGCAGCGCGACAACGTCCGTTTCAGGTGCTCAGGTCATCCGCTCCACCGTGGAGGCTGGTACGACCCCAGATGAGTCGGTACAGACTGAGGTGTTCCAATCGCAGGAGGCCGACGGCAGCATCGTGACAAAGACGGTGAAGACGACGACACGCACTTCGACGTCTGCTAGCGGTGAGCTGGTGAAGACAATCGATGTGGAGACGACGACGGAGACGGAGACAACTTCTGGCGAGAAGAGCACCACGGTGGAGATGGAGACGCGCGAGGAGACGGAAGTGGAGGAGAGCAGTCTCATGACGACGCCAGGCAGCGCGACAACGTCCGTTTCAGGTGCTCAGGTCATCCGCTCCACCGTGGAGGCTGGTACGACCCCAGATGAGTCGGTACAGACTGAGGTGTTCCAATCGCAGGAGGCCGACGGCAGCATCGTGACAAAGACGGTGAAGACGACGACACGCACTTCGACGTCTGCTAGCGGTGAGCTGGTGAAGACAATCGATGTGGAGACGACGACGGAGACGGAGACAACTTCTGGCGAGAAGAGCACCACGGTGGAGATGGAGACGCGCGAGGAGACGGAAGTGGAGGAGAGCAGTCTCATGACGACGCCAGGCAGCGCGACAACGTCCGTTTCAGGTGCTCAGGTCATCCGCTCCACCGTGGAGGCTGGTACGACCCCAGATGAGTCGGTACAGACTGAGGTGTTCCAATCGCAGGAGGCCGACGGCAGCATCGTGACAAAGACGGTGAAGACGACGACACGCACTTCGACGTCTGCTAGCGGTGAGCTGGTGAAGACAATCGATGTGGAGACGACGACGGAGACGGAGACAACTTCTGGCGAGAAGAGCACCACGGTGGAGATGGAGACGCGCGAGGAGACGGAAGTGGAGGAGAGCAGTCTCATGACGACGCCAGGCAGCGCGACAACGTCCGTTTCAGGTGCTCAGGTCATCCGCTCCACCGTGGAGGCTGGTACGACCCCAGATGAGTCGGTACAGACTGAGGTGTTCCAATCGCAGGAGGCCGACGGCAGCATCGTGACAAAGACGGTGAAGACGACGACACGCACTTCGACGTCTGCTAGCGGTGAGCTGGTGAAGACAATCGATGTGGAGACGACGACGGAGACGGAGACAACTTCTGGCGAGAAGAGCACCACGGTGGAGATGGAGACGCGCGAGGAGACGGAAGTGGAGGAGAGCAGTCTCATGACGACGCCAGGCAGCGCGACAACGTCCGTTTCAGGTGCTCAGGTCATCCGCTCCACCGTGGAGGCTGGTACGACCCCAGATGAGTCGGTACAGACTGAGGTGTTCCAATCGCAGGAGGCCGACGGCAGCATCGTGACAAAGACGGTGAAGACGACGACACGCACTTCGACGTCTGCTAGCGGTGAGCTGGTGAAGACAATCGATGTGGAGACGACGACGGAGACGGAGACAACTTCTGGCGAGAAGAGCACCACGGTGGAGATGGAGACGCGCGAGGAGACGGAAGTGGAGGAGAGCAGTCTCATGACGACGCCAGGCAGCGCGACAACGTCCGTTTCAGGTGCTCAGGTCATCCGCTCCACCGTGGAGGCTGGTACGACCCCAGATGAGTCGGTACAGACTGAGGTGTTCCAATCGCAGGAGGCCGACGGCAGCATCGTGACAAAGACGGTGAAGACGACGACACGCACTTCGACGTCTGCTAGCGGTGAGCTGGTGAAGACAATCGATGTGGAGACGACGACGGAGACGGAGACAACTTCTGGCGAGAAGAGCACCACGGTGGAGATGGAGACGCGCGAGGAGACGGAAGTGGAGGAGAGCAGTCTCATGACGACGCCAGGCAGCGCGACAACGTCCGTTTCAGGTGCTCAGGTCATCCGCTCCACCGTGGAGGCTGGTACGACCCCAGATGAGTCGGTACAGACTGAGGTGTTCCAATCGCAGGAGGCCGACGGCAGCATCGTGACAAAGACGGTGAAGACGACGACACGCACTTCGACGTCTGCTAGCGGTGAGCTGGTGAAGACAATCGATGTGGAGACGACGACGGAGACGGAGACAACTTCTGGCGAGAAGAGCACCACGGTGGAGATGGAGACGCGCGAGGAGACGGAAGTGGAGGAGAGCAGTCTCATGACGACGCCAGGCAGCGCGACAACGTCCGTTTCAGGTGCTCAGGTCATCCGCTCCACCGTGGAGGCTGGTACGACCCCAGATGAGTCGGTACAGACTGAGGTGTTCCAATCGCAGGAGGCCGACGGCAGCATCGTGACAAAGACGGTGAAGACGACGACACGCACTTCGACGTCTGCTAGCGGTGAGCTGGTGAAGACAATCGATGTGGAGACGACGACGGAGACGGAGACAACTTCTGGCGAGAAGAGCACCACGGTGGAGATGGAGACGCGCGAGGAGACGGAAGTGGAGGAGAGCAGTCTCATGACGACGCCAGGCAGCGCGACAACGTCCGTTTCAGGTGCTCAGGTCATCCGCTCCACCGTGGAGGCTGGTACGACCCCAGATGAGTCGGTACAGACTGAGGTGTTCCAATCGCAGGAGGCCGACGGCAGCATCGTGACAAAGACGGTGAAGACGACGACACGCACTTCGACGTCTGCTAGCGGTGAGCTGGTGAAGACAATCGATGTGGAGACGACGACGGAGACGGAGACAACTTCTGGCGAGAAGAGCACCACGGTGGAGATGGAGACGCGCGAGGAGACGGAAGTGGAGGAGAGCAGTCTCATGACGACGCCAGGCAGCGCGACAACGTCCGTTTCAGGTGCTCAGGTCATCCGCTCCACCGTGGAGGCTGGTACGACCCCAGATGAGTCGGTGCAGACTGAGGTGTTCCAATCGCAGGAGGCCGACGGCAGCATCGTGACAAAGACGGTGAAGACGACGACACGCACTTCGACGTCTGCTAGCGGTGAGCTGGTGAAGACAATCGATGTGGAGACGACGACGGAGACGGAGACAACTTCTGGCGAGAAGAGCACCACGGTGGAGATGGAGACGCGCGAGGAGACGGAAGTGGAGGAGAGCAGTCTCATGACGACGCCAGGCAGCGCGACAACGTCCGTTTCAGGTGCTCAGGTCATCCGCTCCACCGTGGAGGCTGGTACGACCCCAGATGAGTCGGTACAGACTGAGGTGTTCCAATCGCAGGAGGCCGACGGCAGCATCGTGACAAAGACGGTGAAGACGACGACACGCACTTCGACGTCTGCTAGCGGTGAGCTGGTGAAGACAATCGATGTGGAGACGACGACGGAGACGGAGACAACTTCTGGCGAGAAGAGCACCACGGTGGAGATGGAGACGCGCGAGGAGACGGAAGTGGAGGAGAGCAGTCTCATGACGACGCCAGGCAGCGCGACAACGTCCGTTTCAGGTGCTCAGGTCATCCGCTCCACCGTGGAGGCTGGTACGACCCCAGATGAGTCGGTACAGACTGAGGTGTTCCAATCGCAGGAGGCCGACGGCAGCATCGTGACAAAGACGGTGAAGACGACGACACGCACTTCGACGTCTGCTAGCGGTGAGCTGGTGAAGACAATCGATGTGGAGACGACGACGGAGACGGAGACAACTTCTGGCGAGAAGAGCACCACGGTGGAGATGGAGACGCGCGAGGAGACGGAAGTGGAGGAGAGCAGTCTCATGACGACGCCAGGCAGCGCGACAACGTCCGTTTCAGGTGCTCAGGTCATCCGCTCCACCGTGGAGGCTGGTACGACCCCAGATGAGTCGGTACAGACTGAGGTGTTCCAATCGCAGGAGGCCGACGGCAGCATCGTGACAAAGACGGTGAAGACGACGACACGCACTTCGACGTCTGCTAGCGGTGAGCTGGTGAAGACAATCGATGTGGAGACGACGACGGAGACGGAGACAACTTCTGGCGAGAAGAGCACCACGGTGGAGATGGAGACGCGCGAGGAGACGGAAGTGGAGGAGAGCAGTCTCATGACGACGCCAGGCAGCGCGACAACGTCCGTTTCAGGTGCTCAGGTCATCCGCTCCACCGTGGAGGCTGGTACGACCCCAGATGAGTCGGTACAGACTGAGGTGTTCCAATCGCAGGAGGCCGACGGCAGCATCGTGACAAAGACGGTGAAGACGACGACACGCACTTCGACGTCTGCTAGCGGTGAGCTGGTGAAGACAATCGATGTGGAGACGACGACGGAGACGGAGACAACTTCTGGCGAGAAGAGCACCACGGTGGAGATGGAGACGCGCGAGGAGACGGAAGTGGAGGAGAGCAGTCTCATGACGACGCCAGGCAGCGCGACAACGTCCGTTTCAGGTGCTCAGGTCATCCGCTCCACCGTGGAGGCTGGTACGACCCCAGATGAGTCGGTACAGACTGAGGTGTTCCAATCGCAGGAGGCCGACGGCAGCATCGTGACAAAGACGGTGAAGACGACGACACGCACTTCGACGTCTGCTAGCGGTGAGCTGGTGAAGACAATCGATGTGGAGACGACGACGGAGACGGAGACAACTTCTGGCGAGAAGAGCACCACGGTGGAGATGGAGACGCGCGAGGAGACGGAAGTGGAGGAGAGCAGTCTCATGACGACGCCAGGCAGCGCGACAACGTCCGTTTCAGGTGCTCAGGTCATCCGCTCCACCGTGGAGGCTGGTACGACCCCAGATGAGTCGGTACAGACTGAGGTGTTCCAATCGCAGGAGGCCGACGGCAGCATCGTGACAAAGACGGTGAAGACGACGACACGCACTTCGACGTCTGCTAGCGGTGAGCTGGTGAAGACAATCGATGTGGAGACGACGACGGAGACGGAGACAACTTCTGGCGAGAAGAGCACCACGGTGGAGATGGAGACGCGCGAGGAGACGGAAGTGGAGGAGAGCAGTCTCATGACGACGCCAGGCAGCGCGACAACGTCCGTTTCAGGTGCTCAGGTCATCCGCTCCACCGTGGAGGCTGGTACGACCCCAGATGAGTCGGTACAGACTGAGGTGTTCCAATCGCAGGAGGCCGACGGCAGCATCGTGACAAAGACGGTGAAGACGACGACACGCACTTCGACGTCTGCTAGCGGTGAGCTGGTGAAGACAATCGATGTGGAGACGACGACGGAGACGGAGACAACTTCTGGCGAGAAGAGCACCACGGTGGAGATGGAGACGCGCGAGGAGACGGAAGTGGAGGAGAGCAGTCTCATGACGACGCCAGGCAGCGCGACAACGTCCGTTTCAGGTGCTCAGGTCATCCGCTCCACCGTGGAGGCTGGTACGACCCCAGATGAGTCGGTACAGACTGAGGTGTTCCAATCGCAGGAGGCCGACGGCAGCATCGTGACAAAGACGGTGAAGACGACGACACGCACTTCGACGTCTGCTAGCGGTGAGCTGGTGAAGACAATCGATGTGGAGACGACGACGGAGACGGAGACAACTTCTGGCGAGAAGAGCACCACGGTGGAGATGGAGACGCGCGAGGAGACGGAAGTGGAGGAGAGCAGTCTCATGACGACGCCAGGCAGCGCGACAACGTCCGTTTCAGGTGCTCAGGTCATCCGCTCCACCGTGGAGGCTGGTACGACCCCAGATGAGTCGGTACAGACTGAGGTGTTCCAATCGCAGGAGGCCGACGGCAGCATCGTGACAAAGACGGTGAAGACGACGACACGCACTTCGACGTCTGCTAGCGGTGAGCTGGTGAAGACAATCGATGTGGAGACGACGACGGAGACGGAGACAACTTCTGGCGAGAAGAGCACCACGGTGGAGATGGAGACGCGCGAGGAGACGGAAGTGGAGGAGAGCAGTCTCATGACGACGCCAGGCAGCGCGACAACGTCCGTTTCAGGTGCTCAGGTCATCCGCTCCACCGTGGAGGCTGGTACGACCCCAGATGAGTCGGTACAGACTGAGGTGTTCCAATCGCAGGAGGCCGACGGCAGCATCGTGACAAAGACGGTGAAGACGACGACACGCACTTCGACGTCTGCTAGCGGTGAGCTGGTGAAGACAATCGATGTGGAGACGACGACGGAGACGGAGACAACTTCTGGCGAGAAGAGCACCACGGTGGAGATGGAGACGCGCGAGGAGACGGAAGTGGAGGAGAGCAGTCTCATGACGACGCCAGGCAGCGCGACAACGTCCGTTTCAGGTGCTCAGGTCATCCGCTCCACCGTGGAGGCTGGTACGACCCCAGATGAGTCGGTACAGACTGAGGTGTTCCAATCGCAGGAGGCCGACGGCAGCATCGTGACAAAGACGGTGAAGACGACGACACGCACTTCGACGTCTGCTAGCGGTGAGCTGGTGAAGACAATCGATGTGGAGACGACGACGGAGACGGAGACAACTTCTGGCGAGAAGAGCACCACGGTGGAGATGGAGACGCGCGAGGAGACGGAAGTGGAGGAGAGCAGTCTCATGACGACGCCAGGCAGCGCGACAACGTCCGTTTCAGGTGCTCAGGTCATCCGCTCCACCGTGGAGGCTGGTACGACCCCAGATGAGTCGGTACAGACTGAGGTGTTCCAATCGCAGGAGGCCGACGGCAGCATCGTGACAAAGACGGTGAAGACGACGACACGCACTTCGACGTCTGCTAGCGGTGAGCTGGTGAAGACAATCGATGTGGAGACGACGACGGAGACGGAGACAACTTCTGGCGAGAAGAGCACCACGGTGGAGATGGAGACGCGCGAGGAGACGGAAGTGGAGGAGAGCAGTCTCATGACGACGCCAGGCAGCGCGACAACATCCGTTTCAGGTGCTCAGGTCATCCGCTCCACCGTGGAGGCTGGTACGACCCCAGATGAGTCGGTACAGACTGAGGTGTTCCAATCGCAGGAGGCCGACGGCAGCATCGTGACAAAGACGGTGAAGACGACGACACGCACTTCGACGTCTGCTAGCGGTGAGCTGGTGAAGACAATCGATGTGGAGACGACGACGGAGACGGAGACAACTTCTGGCGAGAAGAGCACCACGGTGGAGATGGAGACGCGCGAGGAGACGGAAGTGGAGGAGAGCAGTCTCATGACGACGCCAGGCAGCGCGACAACGTCCGTTTCAGGTGCTCAGGTCATCCGCTCCACCGTGGAGGCTGGTACGACCCCAGATGAGTCGGTGCAGACTGAGGTGTTCCAATCGCAGGAGGCCGACGGCAGCATCGTGACAAAGACGGTGAAGACGACGACACGCACTTCGACGTCTGCTAGCGGTGAGCTGGTGAAGACAATCGATGTGGAGACGACGACGGAGACGGAGACAACTTCTGGCGAGAAGAGCACCACGGTGGAGATGGAGACGCGCGAGGAGACGGAAGTGGAGGAGAGCAGTCTCATGACGACGCCAGGCAGCGCGACAACATCCGTTTCAGGTGCTCAGGTCATCCGCTCCACCGTGGAGGCTGGTACGACCCCAGATGAGTCGGTGCAGACTGAGGTGTTCCAATCGCAGGAGGCCGACGGCAGCATCGTGACAAAGACGGTGAAGACGACGACACGCACTTCGACGTCTGCTAGCGGTGAGCTGGTGAAGACAATCGATGTGGAGACGACGACGGAGACGGAGACAACTTCTGGCGAGAAGAGCACCACGGTGGAGATGGAGACGCGCGAGGAGACGGAAGTGGAGGAGAGCAGTCTCATGACGACGCCAGGCAGCGCGACAACGTCCGTTTCAGGTGCTCAGGTCATCCGCTCCACCGTGGAGGCTGGTACGACCCCAGATGAGTCGGTACAGACTGAGGTGTTCCAATCGCAGGAGGCCGACGGCAGCATCGTGACAAAGACGGTGAAGACGACGACACGCACTTCGACGTCTGCTAGCGGTGAGCTGGTGAAGACAATCGATGTGGAGACGACGACGGAGACGGAGACAACTTCTGGCGAGAAGAGCACCACGGTGGAGATGGAGACGCGCGAGGAGACGGAAGTGGAGGAGAGCAGTCTCATGACGACGCCAGGCAGCGCGACAACGTCCGTTTCAGGTGCTCAGGTCATCCGCTCCACCGTGGAGGCTGGTACGACCCCAGATGAGTCGGTACAGACTGAGGTGTTCCAATCGCAGGAGGCCGACGGCAGCATCGTGACAAAGACGGTGAAGACGACGACACGCACTTCGACGTCTGCTAGCGGTGAGCTGGTGAAGACAATCGATGTGGAGACGACGACGGAGACGGAGACAACTTCTGGCGAGAAGAGCACCACGGTGGAGATGGAGACGCGCGAGGAGACGGAAGTGGAGGAGAGTGTTTCGAAGAAATTGTCCGGTGCCTCGTCGCTTGGATTGACTAGCGTTACGACGGTGAGTTTGGGCTCGGCGGAGAGTGTCGCTAAGACGATGTCCTCAGGCTTCTTTGAACCAATAGATACTTTTGAAGCAACGTCAGAGGAGGCCACGGTGTCCGCGTCCGGCAAAATTATCTTTGAAAAGACCTTTGCTGACGAGAAGACCGTGGCGCTGGAGGATGTTCGTTGCGGCAATAAGGAGATGAGCGGTATGACAAAAGCCCTCGACGTGGGGACAGCTACCGTCGCAAGTGGTGCAATCGGCTCTATGATGAGTGCCGCCCGCTGCAAAACTAAATTTGCAGATGCCGACTTGACGTGCAAGGACGTCGCTGCTACCATGGGGCTCAATGATACATCGAAGTATCAGCCCGGTGATATAAAATTGCAAGACAAGAATACTCTTGTTGTTATTGGTTTTGCTGGTGGGAGGAACAAAAAGTCGACGCTACGCAAGGTTAAAGAGGCTTCGTTTGGTTGGACGTGGCTGTCAGGTTTTGTGGCGTTTTGTGAGAAGCGGGGTGTGGATGTTACTCAACTTGGTTCAGGTGAGGTGCGCAAGCTTTCGCGTGACTTCTGTTCGAAGAACTTTTCCAGCTTCAGTGAAAATCTGTACGAAATGGGTTCACTTGATGAGAAGCAGGCGGTATGGAATGTAGCGCATACTCTTTCAGCCCACTTCCCAGAGCTTGCGGCTCACCAGTTTGGTGCTCAGTTTGGACAACACAAGCGCATCTTAGTGATCAATGAGTTGCCTATTGAGGATAAGGAAGTACCTGAAGCAACAAACTCAAACCTTGTGATTTCGATGCTGAAAGAATCGCCAAAGCTGTCAGGTGGCTATGAAAATGTGCTGATAACGGAAGATGGTGAAGCAGTTTTCTACGGCTCGGCGAAGTATCTTGTCTCATTATACAAGAAAATTGGATTTGCCTGGCAACACACTACTGATATCGCTGAGTTCTTGCTTAGTCTCGGTGCTACCGACAATGGTAATGCACAGTATCTTGTAACTGTTATTGATCACGCAAACGAAGACAAAGACACCCGCCGCACCCAGAGCTTGTCTGCGTCTGTAAACTTTGCAGACGACACTGTACTTATAACAAGTGCAGAACTAGCCCCGTTACGCGAAAAAAGAGAGGATGACAATCACCAATTCGACTCGCAACAAATTGCAAACAAAATGTCGACTGCAACTGACAGGGTTAAAGCTCATAACGCAATAGCTAGCTCGGAGACAGCAACGGCTGTCGCGAGCGACGACGAGATGTCTACAGAATTGGCGGTCGCCGGCAATGCAGCAATGAGCAGTTTATGCGCGCGTTACGCAGGTGAGAGCAGTAAAATCGATTCAAAGACGTTCTCGGCCGATACGATGCGGCTGTGCAGGAGATCCAGCGCGTATGCCCTGGTGTTGCTTTGGATGAGGCTGCTCTGGCATCTCTGCTGCTGTCAAAGAGTGTAGAGCAGCGCTGCCTGATTTGGTGGCGCTACCGCACCCTGTACAAACAGAGCTTGACGGTGTGGATAAAGAGCACGAGCGACTATGGCGTTCTGCTGAAGATGCTCGCAAGTCCTTTGGAGCAAGTGGAAGCTGAGATCCTACAAAAGGCGACAAAGGGATTGGGCACAACGGAGGAGTGGATCTACCCGGTCGTGATGGCTCGCACAAATGCTTAGGTTGCGCTGCTGCGAAAGAAGACGTTCCAGGGAAAATACGGTGACGACCTGGTGAAAGGCTTGAGCAAAGAACTAAGCGGTGACCTGAAGACGGTGATCCTGGCCGCTATGCGCGGCGAGGTGGCCGACTTCAATGCGTCTGTCCATGCGAGCGTGAAGGCAAGTACGGACACAGATGCGTTGTGCAAGGCTGGACAAGGGCGTGCGGGAGTAGATGAGACGACATTCATCAACATCCTCGTGCTGAGTCCTGCGGAGCACGTGCGCGGCATCAACAGTGCGTATGAGGCAAAGTATAAGACGAACCTCATGGGTGCGATCGAAGCTGAGTTTTCTGGTGATGCGAAGCGCGCGATGCTGTTCCTGGTGCGGTCGGTGCTGGAGCCGGTGAATCTGCTTGCGGAGCTGTTTGATACGACACTACAGGGTTGTGGTAAGAACGCGTATGGCCTGAATGCGTTAGTGGTGCGGTACTACCGCCTCCTTAAGCGCATTCGCATCGTATATACGCGCTTATACCACCAGGAACTACGCACGCGTATCCAGGGCGTGGTGAGTGGCGAGTACTGCCAGTTGCTTCTGTCAACATTGGACGCGGCTGAGGTGGAGTTTGGTGCGTCTGCATCAGTAACTACTTCGGCATGTGCTGAGTATGAGCAGCTCGAGCACAGTTGTAAGTGGCATGAACGATGACACACTTTGCACAAACAGTGATGTCTTAGACACGAGCGCTACTGTAAGTGGCACGAGTGCTGATGCAAGTGGCACAAGCACTACTGTAAGTGCCACAATTGCTGCTGTTGGCGGTGCTGTCGTTGGCACGAGCTTGTCAGTGAAGGAGGAGACAAGCGTTTCATCAGGTGCTACTGTGGATACGACTTGGAGAGCGTTAGCTGGCTTGGAGACAGCAACGGCTGTCGCGAGCGACGACGAGATGTCTACAGAATAGGCGGTCGCCGGCAATGCAGCAATGAGCAGTTTATACGCGCGTTACGCAGGTGAGAGCAGTAAAATCGATTCAATGACGTTCTCGGCCGATATCGATGCGGCTGTGCAGGAGATCCAGCGCGTATGCCCTGGTGTTGCTTCGGATGAGGCTGCTCTGGCATCTCTGCTGCTGTCAAAGAGTGTAGAGCAGCGCTGCCTGATTTGGTGGCGCTACCGCACCCTGTACAAACAGAGCTTGACGGTGTGGATAAAGAGCACGAGCGACTATGGCGTTCTGCTGAAGATGCTCGCAAGTCCTTTGGAGCAAGTGGAAGCTGAGATCCTACAAAAGGCGACAAAGGGATTGGGCACAACGGAGGAGTGGATCTACCCGGTCGTGATGGCTCGCACAAATGCTTAGGTTGCGCTGCTGCGAAAGAAGACGTTCCAGGGAAAGTACGGTGAAGATATGGTGAAAGGCTTGAGCAAAGAACTAAGCGGTGACCTGAAGACGGTGATCCTGGCCGCTATGCGCGGCGAGGTGGCCGACTTCAATGCGTCTGTCCATGCGAGCATGAAGGCAAGCACGGACACAGATGCGTTGTGCAAGGCTGGACAAGGGCGTGCGGGATAGATGAGACGACATTCATCAACATCCTCGTGCTGAGTCCTGCGGAGCACGTGCGCGGCATCAACAGTGCGTATGAGGCAAAGTATAAGACGAACCTCATGGGTGCGATCGAAGCTGAGTTTTCTGGTGATGCGAAGCGCGCGATGCTGTTCCTGGTGCGGTCGGTGCTGGAGCCGGTGAATCTGCTTGCGGAGCTGTTTGATACGACACTACAGGGTTGTGGCAAGAACGCGTATGGCCTGAATGCGTTAGTGGTGCGGTACTACCGCCTCCTTAAGCGCATTCGCATCGTATATACGCGCTTATACCACCAGGAACTACGCACGCGTATCCAGGGCGTGGTGAGTGGCGAGTACTGCCAGTTGCTTCTGTCAACATTGGACGCGGCTGAGGTGGAGTTTGGTGCGTCTGCATCAGTAACTACTTCGGCATGTGCTGGTATGAGCAGCTCGAGCACTGTTGTAAGTGGCATGAACGATGACACACTTTGCACAAACAGTGATGTCTTAGACACGAGCGCTACTGTAAGTGGCACGAGTGCTGATGCAAGTGGCACAAGCACTACTGTAAGTGCCACAATTGCTGCTGTTGGCGGTGCTGTCGTTGGCTCGAGCTCGTCAGTGAAGGAGACGACAACGATAGCCACAGAAGTGACTTCGCCTGAAGTAATAATGTCTACATCGATCGTGAGGACTGTTGGCGTTCGGAAATTTGTATGCTCAGAGTTTCGCGCATGACGTGGAAGGAGGAAAAATCGTTACGATACGTTATCGGCTGATATTGAAGCTGCTGTTCATGAAATCCACTCGAAGTGCACTGGTGTTGCATCAATGGATGAAACGAAACTAGCCTCGATTTTTCTGTCAAAGACTGCTGAGCAGCGGTTTTTAATCTGGTGGCACTACCGTATCGTGTATAAGCAAGACTTGGCAGTTTGGATAAAGAGCACGAGTGACTATGGCGTTCTGCTGAAGATGCTCGCAAGTCCTTTGGAGCAAGTGGAAGCCAGGATCCTGCACAAGGCGATGAAAGGATTGATTACAACAGAGGAGTGGATTTACCCGATTGTGATGGCTCGCTCAAATGCTGAGATTGCAATACTGAAGAAGACATATTGTGATCTATATGGCAATGATCTCGTGAGCACTCTGCGTAAAAAGCTCAGTGGTGATTTGGAAAAAATAGTCGTGGCTGCCGTCCAGGATAATGTGACAGAGTTTGATCCTATGGTGCACACGGATGCAAAGGCTGCTACCGATGCTGAAGCTCTTTACAAAGCAAGCCAAGGAAAGTGGGGTGTTGACAAAGAGCTGTTCATTCGACTGATTGTGTCAAGTCCTAGCGAGCACTTATGTGCTATCAATGCCGCGTACTCCAAGAAGTACAAGACAAGTAGCCTTATCAAGACAATTAAGAGCGTATTCAAACGAGATGCTCAAATGGCACTATTGTATCATGTCCGAATGATATTTGAGCCATTTGAGCTCTTGGCAGAACTCTTTAAAAACACAATGGAAGGGATTGGTACGGACGAGTACGGCCTTAGCGCAGCAGTGGTACGTTACCATTCAATGCTGCCAGAGATCAAGACTGCGTTCAAACAATTGTATCGCGAAGAGCTACGTGATGATATTCGCGATGATACTAGTGGCAAATATCGTGATTTACTCTTGGGAATAGTCGATAGTTACTAATGTGAATGAGGAAGTAAAGTGACTAGTTGAACAACTTTATTCAAGTCACATGTTAATATTATTCTTAGAAAAGGGGAAAAGAAAGAAGCAGAAGAAGGAATACCGCGGGTAATACAGTGCGATGGGTTTCGAGGCCAGGAGCGACAGTAGATGAATCAAGTCATGATGGTGTACGTTAACGTTTGGTGGAATATCGATGTCATCCAGTTTTTCTTTCTCGTGTAATATTGGATTCATATCCTAGTCAGTTCTGTAATGTCGTACTATGACCATGATTTCATCTTCTTACCACAACAATCCAATTGTCGATTGCTTGAGAATTTTGGAGATAAGTATGATGCGTATTGCTCAGCTAATCAAAAATTCCTAAAGGTTGTGTTGGAAATCTATAAAGATGGGAATCTCGTACTTGTATGTAATTATCAACTCGTGACACTTCCTGGATTACTCCGTCGTCGCTTTGGTGACGTGACGTGTGTTTCTTAATATCCTGTACGTTTCCATCGTCGAAATTCTTTTAAATGCTTCCGGTACGTGAGGCATTGCTCCATGATGTATTAGGTGCTGATTTGGTTGTTTTTAACCACCTTTGACTACGTGAGCCACCTTCGGAACGTGTGCACGCGTATGCTCGGACTTGAGTTGTCGCCCAGTCGCGTTGAGTACAATGAACACCTCATCTCGCTCAGTATTTGCCTTATGGGTATTGATCCTGTCAAGTATGCACTGACACCAGAGGTGGAGGCGCAGGTCGGATGCTTAAGCGCCAGCAAGACGGCCACAAGATCACTGTAAATTTGCACAAACTCGAACTTTGCAAAGGCATCCCCGAGGTGCTCGAGGCGATGGAGTATCTGCTCCCAGACTACGGTGGAAAAGTCGTGCTATATGCTACTGTGGGTGATGCCGGACGCACAGCATCATTACAGTACCGAATGCATAGTCGTCAGACTAACGAGCTTGTTGGGTATGTGAACGGCCAGTTTGGAACAGCCGAGTACTGCCTTTAGCAATATCTACAACAATCGATCCATCACGACCAGCTCGTGGCGCTGTATAGCTGCGCAGTCGCAGCTATTGTTAGCAGCATCAGGAAGGAACCAATATGCAGGCGATGGAATTATGCTGCCCAGAAGAAAAATTCCCGTCGATTGCTTGTCTCCAGTGAATTTGCAGGGTGCGTTGCTTGTCTCGGATATCATCGTAATGAATGAGTTTTTGTGGTATCAAGTGTCCTTTAGATGGCATTGTCAATCAGGTGGGCGTCGTCTTTCCAAGGTGCGCTGTAGGCGAACCCGATGCGCCTCGAACAAGTTGCGGCAAGTGTGGATACAGCGCTTAGAATGAGCACGACAACAAGGCGTATTCGGCATCACAAATTATCGCGCTATGTAAACACGTACACAACGACTCTATAGGCTGAACGACTCTATAGGCTGAACGATTTGGCGACGAATTATGTCGGCTTTGAACGACGGGCGCTGTTGTATTGAATATGACTAAGCTAGATTTGACTAAAACGTATTGGACATGGTACAGGCTGCTGCAACTGCGTAAGAATGTTACCGTCTTGACAAGCTACAATTGCTCGGCATTACGAACGATGTCAACGACGCCTGCTTTTGGTCATGAAGGCAAACGAAACTGCAGTCTTTAAACGACGTCCCTGGCAGTATATGTTCCGTGACGGTGAGTTGGAGTGGTGCGATGAAGTGGGAAATATATTGGAACACATTACAGAGCGGATCCCCCGGCTTGTTGCTGGATGTGAAGGATTGCTGCTATATATGGCACTTCAGCAACGCCGACCCCACTTTCAGTTTGAAACAGGCAAACGACATGCCGCTTCATTTTGATCAGATGCTGCGTGATATGCCAGTTGGCGTGGTCATGTGTCGAATCAAGAAGTATGTGACGATTTGGCCGTAGCGGCTAAACAAAGACCGAGCTATAAGCCTTATCCTGGAGTACGAAGACGTCGTACTTTACAGCGCTTGACTTTGATTTCATTCTTGTGTTTGGCTACTAATGCACGGACGAAAATATGTTTGATGTCGTTCAGGGCAGCAACTGCTACACGTGCACGGCAGGCATAAAATTAGTCGCGCACAGTATTACCTGGATGATCCTGATGAAATTTTGCGCGTGCTAACTGGCTGCATAAGCTTCATGACGGCTAAACGGCGCCCACTTTCAGGCAAACGACAATCGATGCGAACACGGCTGCACAAAACAAACGACTTTTGATGCGGACAATGGCATTTTATGCGTGTTGGGACATGCCATTCATACTATGGCTCAACCAACGCAAAAAAAAAAAAAAAAAAAAAAAAAAAAAAAAAAAAAAAAAAAAAAAAAAAAAAAAAAAAAAAAAAAAAAAAAAAAAAAAAAAAAAAAAAAAAAAAAAAAAAAAAAAAAAAAAAAAAAAAAAAAAAAAAAAAAAAAAAAAAAAAAAAAAAAAAAAAAAAAAAAAAACAAAAAAAAAAAAAAAAAAAAAAAAAAAAAAAAAAAAAAAAAAAAAAAAAAAAAAAAAAAAAAAAAAAAAAAAAAAAAACCCCCCCAACAAACCACAAAAAAAAAACACAAAAAGAAACCCAAAAAAAAAAAAAAAAAAAAAAAAAAAAAAAAAAAAAAAAAAAAAAAAAAAAAAAAAAAAAAAAAAAAAAAAAAAAGAGGGTCCCCCCCAAAAAAAAAAAAAAAAAAAAAAAAAAAACAATTACACCTTTGGATAAAGGGGTCCCCCCCCCCCCCCCAAAAAACGATCCAAAAAAAACACCCCCCCCAAAAAACTCAAAGGTTCACAAGTGGCGCAAATGAACAAAGCCACAAAAGAATCATTGGGCAGCTGCCCATGTTGAGACACATCAGACCACCAATGGCAAAACCTTTTTTAATCCGGCTTGGGCTGCGCCACGATGGAAGCAGTACGCTTTTACAAAAAAGTGAATGGCTTCCAGTACGTCAGAAATTGAGTTACGTTCTAGCAGTTTGCCCATTAATGGCATTGCTTGTAACTCACACTCATCAATCAGTCGATAGCGTCTTGGTAACTCTTCAACAGCTGCGAGTTCCTCTGTAGCTTCTTTTCAAGTATACCAGCTTGATTATTGAAAGAAATAGCACTTAAAAGAGCCATCGTGCCTTCGTTTACACTAATGATTTCACCCATCGCTTCGCTTATTTTCTTCTCCGCACAGCAATTACTTCATCCCGCTTCTTTCTCATTTCTTCTGTTAACGCATCACGCTTCTTCGCATCGAATTAACGATTCAGGTTGCCCATGAACGGGTTTGTTTCCCATAGCAATGAAATGAAGAGACTAGTATGACGGCAGGCCACCGCTGCCTTATCCTGCAACCGTCCCGCGGCCATTTAGATCACGTTTATTATCATTTGTAGCGGCAAGGCACTTTTCTGACATAAAAAGCCCACATTTTCAATACATGGCTGCGTGCAACGACGTAACGTCGTGAATACGATTCTTAAGCACGCTGAGCACTGGTCTCTTGTCGAACCACAAAACCTACGCGGGAGTTCTTGCCAAGCTTTTAAACTCCTACTTCATTAACAGAGTCACTGCTACTGCTATCCTCTTCATCACTGCGATTATCGCTGTCAGACACATCACTCTTCGTTTCTCTGTCGTTCACTTCATCCTCCGCGGTTTCTCCTTCAACTCATTCGCTGCAGTATCATCAGGTTGTCCACTCTGCCGGAAATTCCAAAGTTACCCTTCGGTCCATGTTGCTTCTTTCGGTGCATCTAATGATTTTGTTCGAGAAAGTACAGTGATGGAGTTGGACCTACTGCCGGGCGAGTCGAGGTTACTGGAAATGCCATGCTCCTACGAAACGGGCAGGGCAAGGCCTCTGGGAAGATTAACAACGATCGAGCTAACTTGTTGTTTGATACTGGCGCCAAGATATCTATTTTGGATATCGCCTTTGCTCGTAAGGTAGTCTGCCAGATTGATGAAAGTGAGCGACAAAAATGTGTTGGTATCGGGGAGTCCGTGTATACCACGGAAGGTCGTACCCGTATCAAGGTCACCATGAACGGAAACTTGGTATACATCTTTAAGGTGTGGGTGGGCCCGATGGTGGGTCAGGATGCCATTTTAACCATGGACGTCATGGTGTTAGCCGGTTATCGACTAGATCTGGCGGATGGGACACTATGTTTTCCCGATGAGGTTCGCGTCCAGTTAGCAGGACGAAGGGCCCTTCACGATAACCGGGTATCAGATGTGAAGTTGGGTCGATACGTGCAGATACCGACCGGAGGGTACGAGGAGGTGCCTCTAAAAGGTCAACCTCGCACCAATGGAAGTTGTGGGTCACAAGGGGGAGAACGGTGGATCACGACTGTGAGCCAAGGGGTAGGAAGTTGGAAGTTCCTGAAAGCAAGCACCCAACCCCTGATATTGCACGAGGACACCGAGATAGGCATGCGGCTGACGAAGGATTAAGTACCAAGGGCGCAGGGTTTTGTGTCGGTAGGGTCTCGAAGATATGCCGAGTGGCTAAACCTGGTGTATGAATCTACCACCGACCAGGTCGACTATCGGGAAGACCTGACGGGGAAGGATGAAGGACCATTGGTGGAGGTACCACAGTACAGTACTCCATCTAGAATACTTCAGCAACCAAGGGTACTTGTTCCAGTAATTACTATGGCATTTCAGCCGAAGGTCGATCAGGTAGACCCCAGGTCGACCAGGTAGACCCCAGGTCGACCACGTGGGCCAGACAGATTGACCAGGTTGACCCTAAGGGTGACCAGGTAGACCAGACGGAAGAAGGTGAAGGATCTCTGGTAGAGCCGCCACAAGCAGATGACCAAGTGTACGCGTTCAAAAGTGGGGAACTCTGGGCCGAAGATGTAAATCCAGGATGGGCTATTATACCGGAGATTGAACAATCCCCCACGAGTATCAAGGTGGAAGATATACAGATTCCTTACTCTGACGGAAACACCCCAGAGGAGGTGGAACGACTGAGACAAATTATATGGAGAAGACGACACCTACTCGTGGGAAAGGGTAAAGCCTTACCGCCGGATGCTCAAGGAGCTATCTGTGATATTGATGTGAGCAATGCCAGGCCGATTGCACAACGTGTACGGAATCTGGCTCCTCAGTTCAAAGAAAAGCTGGCCGATCTGATCAAGGGACTATTATCTGCAAAGATCATTCAGCCCTCTACCCCTCCATGGGCCAGCCCAATCATCATTATTGTGAAGAAAAATGGGGCGGATATCGGGCTGTGTATTGATTATCGGTTGGTGAACGACTTGACCCAGCTTATGGTCTACCCTATGCCTCTAATCAACGAATTGTTGGAGGATCTGAACGGAGCATTGTAATACTGCTCCCTGGATATGGCAAGTGGGTCATCATCATGACCGAAAGGGCGAGAAGGATCTCGGCTTTTGTCACCCCATTGGGGTTGTTCGAATAGCTACGGATGCCATTTAGACTCAAGAATGCGCCTCAGATATATCCGAGACTCTTGGATAATGCTTTGTATGAGTTTTTACGTATTTCTCAAGGAGCTGGTACATAGGAGACCGAAGACTTGTTTGCGATGGGGAAGCCTGATGTAAAGTCGGGTCCCTTGGTACTGGGTCGGCGGTCTTACATAGATGACATTTTGATACCGGCCGACTCGTGGGACATGTTGCGCTCAAAGGTAGAGCGGTTGTTAGATGGGTGTGACTATTGGAATCTATCGATCAGTGCGGTCAAGAGCTCATGGGGTTGCCGGAAGGTAGACTTCCTTGGGCACCGGGTCTCGGAGCAAGGACTAGAGGCCCCCCCAAAGGACCTCCAGTCCATGGTCGACCTATCGTTGCCAACGACACTCAAAGCCATGCAATCGTTTCTTGAAAGTCTGAATTACTATGGTAGATTCACTGAAGATCATGCAGTGTATGCATCGATCCTCTATGAGTTACGGGAGGTGGATTTTTACGATTAGCGATGTAAGTTGAGGACGGGTGACAGTGCGGTGGCTAAGGCAGAAGACGAGGACAAGTGGTCCAGGCCTAAGTAGCTTTTGCTACTCTCAAGAATAAGATTTCCACTGAACGTATCTTGCGACACTTTGACCCGTCCAAGGAGGAAGTAATTATCGTTTATGCAAGTGAATGGGCCATATTCGTGTCGCTGGTGCAAGGCAATGTTGGAATTCTAATGCCGGTAATTTTTACGAGTCGGACCCTAAAGGCCAACGAGTTGAACTACAGTACGGTGCAAAAAGAAGTGCTGGATTTATTGCGGATAATGGAAACTTGTTTTACGATGTTGGTCACTCGACATCTCAAGGTCCTGACGAGCATTCTACATCGGTGTGACTAGTCAGGTCTACGGGGTTACAGGGACGTCTTGGTAATTGGGTTGCCCTCTTGTCCCAATGGACTATGGAGATTGTTAAGTGCAAGAAAGGCAAGGACCAAGTACAGGGGGCGTTCGCAGCCAGTATTACTTCTCGTGAAAGTGTGAGCTCGATTGTGTCGTCAATTGCCCCCAAGAAACAGGCGTGGCAAGTAGTTGACCTACCTACACCAACTGTGGAGCCTGACAAAGAGTTATACGTCATGAGTTTTGACGGGTCGGCGCGAGTGAAATAGGGAAGTGGAGCCTGTAGCGCTATTGTATGGAAATTACCCAATTGAACCATAGCCAAGGCTGCCTCAAAGTTCCTCGTTACATCTACGGTGAATGAGGCCGAGCATGAGGGTGTGCTACTGGGTTTGACCTGTTAAAGCCTCTAGAACAACGGCAACTGATTATCTGTAGAGATTCCAACTTGGTTGTCCGACAAATGCGTGGTCGACGATCCAAAACCCTCGGCTTCGGCCTCTAGTCCTCATGATTTTGCATCGCTTCGAAGCGATTCCTCCTTGTTTCCTTGCGTTCGAAATCCTGAAGTAAGGCCCCACAATTCAATCCACTTCATCTACCCACGAGGGGTCTTCATACCTTTTCCATCGAACGAGGAGCTCTTGTTATTGTCTCCCGTAGCGTGTTTTCTTTCCAGTGCGGGCTCCCAAAACCTCCTCGATCTCGTACTTTCCTTCTTCCAGCTCTCTTGCCCAACTGTCCTCCGGCAACAGGCATTCATCAAAGTGGACCCGATCTTTTCCGTCCGT